GTTCATGTTAAAATGAATATACATGTTAAAGTTGTATAACAGATTATGCATTGAATCCTACGACTTTTAAATGTGAAGCATAATGTCCACAAACATGTTTGAAATGCAGTTCTCCAACAATATGTTCAGTATGTAAGGAAGGTTATAAATTGTCAGATAAAAACTAATGTGAGAAGAATATATGTAAAGAAAATTGTTTATTGTGTAATGAATTTGGAGAGTGTTTAAAATGTTCTAAAAATTTCTATGTAAGTTCATAACATATGACTGATTGTATTGGAACATGTGGACCAAATTGTACAGTATGTACATCTCCACCAGTTTGTAGCTAATGCTAAGATTCTTACTATTGGAGTGACAACAAAACTGAATGTGTTTTATTTGAAGAAGTGATTATAGAGAAAACTATATATAATCCATTAATTGCAACATTCCCTAATGGAGATTATATTGAATTATGGTCTGAAGAAGGTCCAGATGCAGGTATATATTTCTAAATTTTCAGAAAGAATGGTTAAAAAGTAGGATCAAAAACAAAAGTAAATATGGATGAATTAGGAATGAGAAGATTATTATAATCTGTAAATTCAAATAAGTTTAAAACTCTCTTTTCAGACATAGCAACATTTGATTAAGACTTTGTTATTTTATGGGTGGATTAGATTGTTGGAGATATGAAAGTTAAACTAAAAAAATTTGATACCAATGGTTAAGCTATGGGCAAAGAAGTATAAATTGCTTAGATACCAAAATAAGATTTAAATAGTATTGCAGCTCCATGTATTATTAAAAAGACCACAAATAATAATTTTGTTATTGGTTTCTTCAATTAAGTTGAATAATCTATAAATAAGACTGCTACTATGTTTTTATAATCATTTAACTAGACTATGTAACCTATTGGATAAATACAAATGTTAGATAAAGCTGATATAACTAAACCACCTATGATATCTAGTGATGAAGATGGTGTTATTTCTATTACATTTTCAAGTGAAGGGGCTACCTTCTTAGCTCAAATTTCAACTCAGGGTGATATCATAACAGAACCTCAAAAAGTAGATGAAGGTAAAGCATTCAAATCTACTAATCTGAAGAATAAATTTATTGTTTTTATATTTGAAGGTGTTAGTTCAAATGTTTCACCTCCACAATATATTCTATCTTATTAGATTATGAATTTAGATAAAATATTGTCTGAAGCTAGAATCTTTGCTAGTCCATAATATGGAGAAGAACATCCATATATTACAGCATTTGGGCATGGCTTTATCATTGCTTGGAGAACTGTTGATAAATCACTCAAATCTAAAGATATTTTGTTTTAAATTTTTGACGGAGATGGAACATAGATTTCTAATTAAACATAGGTTAAAAGATAAGGACTTTATCCAAAAAATCCTAGTATTTAAATATTAAATGATGAAGAATTTTATATTACTTGGACAGCTACTAATAATAATCATTAAGATAATTTCTATCTTTAACAATTTAATAAATCAGATTTAATCATTTAAAATCCAATCAACTAAGAAGTTGAATAACCTATTATTTGTCCATTGAATTGTTTATCTTGTTTGAGTAATACTATTTGTGAAAATTGCGTATCAGGATATTATGTTGAAAACAATTTCTGCTAAATAGATTGTGGAATCAATTGTCTTTCATGTTCTATCCCCAATTAATGTGATGAATGCATGCTAGGATATGAAGTCTCACTTAATCATACTTGTGTCTAAATTTAATGTGAAGATGGTTACACTCTCTCTGAAAATATGGAATGTGTACTAACTTGCTCTGAAAATTGCAATCAATGTTAATCTTATGATAAATGTTTGGTTTGTGAAACAGATTACAATTTGTTAAAAGGACATTGTGTTAAACTTAGTGAAAAAATAGATCTAAATGGGGATGCTGAGCAATTACCCTATTATTATATTATTCTTATATGTTTAGCAGCCTTATGCTTTTTAGGGCTTATGGCTTATGCCATCTGGAAATTTAAGTTGGGAGATCCAGTTTAATCATAGAGAAATCAACAAAGATAAGTTATTGATGAAAGAGAAAATACAGTTTTAGATTCTAGAATCAATTGAGATTGAGATATCATTAATAAAATATCAAAATTAAAACTAATATCATTCAATTTTTTTTTTTTATTGTAAGTCTTTGACATAAATCTTTTAGTATTTCATACACTTCTTAAATTGATGGTCTATCTTTTGGTTTCATTTTTAAACATCTAGCAATAAGTTCAATAAATTTTTAAGGATATTATGTATGATTTAGCTAATTTGCTATTGATTATTCACTATAATATTTATGTAACTCTTCTTCATTAAGATATCTACAACCAGCATTTTCATTCCCAACATACTAACCTTTATTTGCTAGTTACAAAATAATCAATCCATATTAAAAAATATCGTATTTTAAAGATCCATCAGTTTCAGGAGGATCATACCTACAAGTATTACTTTAATGTTCTATTGTCATTTAATCATCATTTTGATTCATAAGAACTTTAGATCGATCAAAATCAGCTACATAAATTGCTGAATAAATTAATTCTTCTTTATCTAGGTATAAATTGTCTGGTTTTAAATCTCTATGTATAATAATATTTTTCTAAAGTTCCATTAAAGCTAATTTTATATTCATTAATACCATATGCAATTCTTGAACTTATCTAAAGGGCAGTCTTTTGGTTTATTTATTAAATTTCTTATTAAGAAAATTTATCTTATAGAGTTCCATAATATTTTCTCATGAAAAAAAATGGTTATTTTAGTACTCTAAAATAAGCATATCCTACAGCCATATGAGAGCAATTATAAAACAATTCTAAAAATTCAATTTGCCTATTTGTTTATAATTCAACTATGCCTTCATAATTTTATTTTCTTAAAGTTTTGTAAACTATTTATTAATCCTATTATTCATCTGCACATATAAAATTTTCAGGCCTTTGAAAATATTTAACAATAGATTGATTAGTATCGTAAATCTTGTTAAAAATTTTAACTTTGAATAGATTTTACAATAAATTCTCATAAGGACCTCTCAAATAATCTTATTTCCCAAGATCTCCATTAATTTTTAATAGAAAATTAATAATTTGCTCAAAAGAATTTTCTTAGAGTAGATCATCTGGTATTTTTATAATTTAAGAAAAATATTTTGTATAAAACCTTTTGAGAATTTCTAAATTAGTTTCTCTTTAATTTTATTTGGAAAAGTCATACTCTATTAAAGAAAGAAACATCATTTCTTTATAGTAATATAATTATTAAATTGAATTTAAAGGCCAATAATATTTTCTTTCCTCTAATTCAGCAAAAGCTTAGAATATTTATAATTTTACTTAAAAATAACTACAATAGTATCCTTTTAGCAGTTATCTAATCCTATAATGAATTTTCTTCTAATATGAAGTTGAGATAGTCTTTATATACAATAATTCTTTCCCCATTATGTTCAAACTTATCAAAAATTGGCAAAAGATTCAAAAACCTACAGGATATAAGATTATTTAATTCCTCTTCACTTAAATTTATTCCCTTTTTAATATGTAGTGATATGTATTCATTTTACTTTTAATTACCCTTCTATTTGACTCTTTATATTTTTTTAGTATTTTAATCTTATATTAGCTGACCTGCTATGTATTTTTATTCAAAAGATTATGCCATTTAGATAATTAATATTAATACTTAATATTTTGTATTCAAAATTTAATTTTTCTATAAGGATTATAGTAGAATTGTGGAGAAAAATTGATAATAGAACTTTAGAAATAATAAATTGAATATAAAAATTTTATTAATAATGTATTTATGTCTTTATAAAGAATATTGATTTCATTTGTCATTTAAAGTAATTATTTTGCTCCATTTAGAAAATTTTAAGAATATAAATAAATGAGATTCTATCTGATGCTTTAATTATGTTAGTTAATATATTTTTCTAATAAGAGTGCTTAATAAATCTTAATATTTAATAAAAGTGATGTCGTATTTAACATTTTTGTATTAGAATATATTTATTAGAAGAAACAATGAAGAGATTTTTTTAAAGTATAGATAATTTTTTAAATTATGAAATCATTAGTAAAGAGATTAGAAAATTCGAGATAAAGCATATAATGTATAAACTAATTCTTAAATATCATGAAATCACTTATAGAAATTAAATATCTAGGCTACTTAATTTTTTTTCATCTTATAAAAATATTATTATTACAATTATGGAAAATGATTATACAATAATTGAGATAAAGGATTCCTCTAAATAAGGAATAATAATAAATAAGGTGAAAGAAAAAGACTCAAGGGGCACTAATTAAACAGGTTTCTTATCCTTACACATTTAAAAAATTAATATTTCCTATGAAGATTTCACAAAATTGAGAAAGCTAAAAATCTTAAATGTACTGTAACCAAGGAATTATTATGAGACATCATTTGAGAAAATTTTAATTTTTCCAGATATATCAGAACATAAGCTAACAGATCAATAATTAATTAATGATGTTTTTAGAATTTTGTTATAATTAGCCCTAAGTAATTTTATTCATTAATATATAGCTTATGCTGAATTTGAAAAGAGAGAAAGCTTTTGGCCTTTAAATTCTATTAGACAATTATATTATTTATAGGGAATATTATATATTTCATTGATAGAATATGATTTTATAAATCCTTAAACTTCGTAATCTCCCTTTTAAATTTTCAAAAAGTTTACCCTTAATCATTTTTAGAACTTAATACCAAATATCAACACTTATTTTTAATAAAATAGCTTCAATTCAATAATTACTTTTTTATTAGAAAAGAACGGAAATTTTCATAAAATAAATTATCTAAATCCACCATATGAAAATGTTTTGTTATATTTACTTAATGTTAATAAATAACATTAACTTGCTTCAATATATGAATAAGGAAATTCAGTCGTAAAGGGTTTTTCAACACCTGAATGTTTAAACTAAGTTTATTCAAATCTTTATGATAAAATAGTTTATAAATCCTCAAGATTTTAATAAGAAGAATATAAAGATTAAATTTTATAAAATATTTAGAGAGAAATAGAAGTAATGGAAAAATGTTATGACACAGAATTCATTGTGGCATGTTTTGCTTATATTAGAATTTTTGAATACTCTTTTCTCCTGTAAAAGCGATTTGTTGGAACTTTAGCAGATTTTTTGAGAAAATGGTAGGTAAAAAAAGACAGAACTGAATAATAAACTATAAAAGATGTACTCTTCATAACAAACAGATTTGCACTAGGTATTTATGAATTTATATCAAGCTCTAAAATCGTTAAAGAAATCAAACATTCTTCATAGGGACCTCAAACCTGAGAATTTATTTTTAGACCATGATGAACTTAATTATAGTTTCATATATATTGCTGATTTTGATCGTTCTAAATCTTTGGATGGCCAAACGGAATAGATTATGACAACATAAAATGTAGAAAATACAGCAAAGTATGACCCTCCAGAAAAAACTTAATCATTTAAATATGATAACTATTAATTTGGTCTTATTATTTTAACAATAGCCAATAAGGGCAAATATATAGGAAATGAAATTTAAGGATCGAGATATTTTACAAATGAAGAACATGAAAGTTTTTATAGTAGATAAGCTATTGAAAAGGCACTTTCACATACAAAATATGACAAAGTTTTTTTAGATGTCTTAGCTTAGTGTCTTAAAAGAAATCCTGATGAAAGACCTGAAATTGAAGAAATTTATTCAAAAATTAATCCATTATATTTAAAAACCAGAATAAGACTTAGTTCGTCTACTAAATCTAGTGGTAATGATTAATCTAATCAATAAAATTTGCCTATATTAAATCAACAATAAAATAACTATGATGCTAACAATAATTTATAATATTAACTTTAAGGACCTAATCAAACAAATTATAATTATATGAATCAAGGAAATTATAATAGTATGAATTAAGGAAATTATAATAATATGAATTAAGGAAATTATAATAATATGAATCAAGGAAATTATAATAATATGAATTAAGGAAATTATAATAATATAAATCAAGGAAATTTTAATAATATAAATCAAGGAAACTTTAACAATATAAATGAAGGAAATTTTTATAATACTAATCAAACAAATTTTAATTAAACACCATTAGCTCAATAATAAAATTAATAGTTTAAACCTAAAATAACAATTTAAAATAATTTAAATCAACAAAATTTTTTTTCAACATAATCAAATTAACTTTAATAATAATAAATTTAACATTAATAACCCCAACAATATTAATAATACCCACAATATTAAGAGTAATCTCCAATCCAATAATAATTAAATTAATCATCATCCTCGTCATCAAATTTACAGTTTTAAGCTTCTTATTAAGATTAATCGCCTATCCAATAACAATCGCCAAAAATACATTATAAATAACAACAGCCATAACCGCTACAGAATACAAAAATAAAAATAATATAACTTGAAAGTTAACCTCAGGATTAATAATACATTCATAATTTTTAAGAACATCCTTCTAATTAATAACCTGAAGAATATAACATAACTTAACAGCCTCAAAGAAAGAGCGTGAATTAAAAAATAAAAATGATACATCAGTAATAATTTAAAATATTTATATAGGAGTGGCCCTCTGACCCCAGGTTAAAATGCTTCTAATTTAGAATGAAATATAAATTAATATAAAATAAGAATATAATTTTATAAATAATAACAATTATTTGAATATCAATGTTCCTCTTATGAAAAAGCAAAACCAGTATATCCTCGCTTAATGGGACTTTTGGGAACTTAGGAATTATTCAATTAAAATTGTGTATTAGGTGATGGTTAATGTAAGAATTATTCATCTTGTAATTCAATGTGCTATTTTTAAATGAGCATATAAACTTTATCATGTTAGGTTGTGACTTAATCATATTAAGACCACTAAGCAAATTTAGTAAGAGCAAAATCAAAAATGGAAGTAGCTCCAACAACAAGAAGAGTAGCGAAGTAAAATCTGAGATGAATTAAGGTGGCACTTTGGCTATTTGACATATCAGATTTAGGCATTTTCTCTGAAACGATGAAAAATAAAAAGAGATAAAGTAGTACAGATCCTAAAAGTGCAAAGATTACTCCTATAGAATAAGTATTACTAAATAAGATAATCTAATGTGGAAATAGTATTGGTTACTTTAATGTTACTATTTAATACTGAATAGCCTAAAACAATGGCACCTGTAGTCCATAAGCCAGCCATCATTCCATTATAAATAGAGGAGGTTTCATAAGTCTGAAAGGTTAAGTATGACAAAATGCCAGCTTATATTGTGCCATTAATAACCCAATATAAAAAGATTTTAACATTGAAAAGTTTGTGTTTTATACCAATATCATAAAGATTAGGATCTAGTATGGAGAGATATGTTTACTTGAACTTAGAATATCTCCTGAGAATTCTTCATCAAAAATGGCATACAAAACAATAGGAAGACTAGTGAAAAATAAATTGTAGCTTTAATAAAGTAACTAGTCATAAAACATAACAGCAGAAAATCCATTATTCAAAGCCCACCAATATTAAGGTAAAACTAGAAGCATATTTTTATAGAAATTGTAATTAACAAGAGTTGAATTTTTTCTATAGCTCTCTCTACCATGATAAAGTGTTAATCTTCTAAGTATTCTGAATTCCCCAACAGCATAATCAGAAGCTCTAGCTGCTTATTATCCTTCTACTCCTTTGATTCCAATTCCAATATGGGCAGCTGTAATCATATTAACATCATTTGCACCATCTCCTATAGCTAAAGTTGTTACGTTAGGTTTATTGCTTCTAACTAATTAAACTATTTCTTATTTTTATTTTGGTGAAACTCTACAAGCTACAACAGCTTCACATCTCTCAGCTATTTCCATTACCTTTCTTGAATATTCTGGTTTCATTGCTATTATTAAAGCATTACCAGAAATCACTAAAGCATTCTTATTATTATTTTAACTTTTCTAAAAAGCCTTTTCTAATTCTTTGTTAACACTTTACTCATCATTTGCATCAACTATTATTTATTATAATGTATCATTTAATAATTAACAAGAATAACCGATATTTATTGCTGTTTCTATTTTGTCTCCTGTTAGTACCCATACTTTAATACCTGCATCTTTTAAATTTTAAATAGTAGGGCCAACATCCTCTTATAATTTATCTTCAATTGCTGTTCCTCCTATAAGTTCTAGTTCTTATTCTATTTTAGCTTAAGCTTCCATCATCAAATTATCTCGGTTTTATATAGCTGAACATGCCTATAAATAAGTTTTCTCCCATTCTTTATAAGTTTATAAAGGTAAAATTCTTCTTGTTAATAAAAGAGTTCTTAAACCAATGGATGCAAATTCTTATAAATCATTCCATGTCTTCTCTTTAAGTTAAGGTACAACTGGTTTCATTAAAGGTTCAATTACAGAATCAGCACCTTTTGTATATAATATTATTTAATTTTGTTGGTCTTAGACAATAACTGAAACCCTCTTTCTAGTACTGTTGAATTCCAATACATGCAACAATTAATATATTTTATTATCACCTTTTATATTCACAACCATACTATTCGAAGCGTCTACTCCTTCAAAAGTGTATCCACAAAATCTAGCAAAATTTACCAATGCTAATTCATCAGGAGATGATGCTTAATATAGTAATTAACCATTTTTATTCTCTGTTACTATTGTGTGACATAAAGATAAACATAATAAAAATTCGTGTAATGGTCCCTTTCCTGGAGTCTAATTCAAATCATTAAAAAATGCTTTATCTCTGAAATCAACATTCGTTACTTATGCCAATTTAGATACTTCTTCATTACTTAATGTTACCTCTTTTCCATATGATTTCTTATTCACTGTCAAACATTTGAAATCCATCTAATTCTTTGTTAAAGTTCCTGTCTTGTCTGAAAATATATAATCCACCTGACCAAGTTCTTCATTCAAATTTGAAGATTATACTGTTGTCTTAATATCATATTCAGCTGAATATGTTCCTTTATCAAATGTAATCAACATTCCTTAAAAATATTTCACCATCTCTAAAGACACTAGCAATGATATTGGAACAAAATTTGTGAAAATCAAAATCCAATTACCCCATTTTATCTAAAATTTTATTTTGAGTTTTTACAAATAAATTTTTCACAAAATTATGCTCTGGTTCTGTATTTTATATATCTAAATATGATAATTCAGAATTATGAATCTATTGCCATTAAGAATTTAAAAATCCACCAAAACAACACATAATCATCTAAAAACTTATAAAACATTTATTACTTATAATAAAAATATCACGATTATGAACAAATTCATTGTTCTTTCTAAATGACTTCGCTTTGGTATTGCCTTTACTGAATTTAGCATAATCTTTGAATCATGTCCATTATAACAAACCACACCATAAATAAAGTTTACATTTCTTAATGCACAACCTCTTAAAATGAAATTTTTTTCACTCAAAGGAATTTACTAATTATTAATTTCAGCGGATCCAGTAAATTAATATAAATATGGATTTGGTCGTTCATATTTAATTGTCATTCTCAAAGCCAATAATGAATCTTCACTTTGCTCTTAAAGTTATTTTAGATTTTTTTGAATATTTTTACATTTCAAATTGGTTTCTCCATCTAAATTTTTAGTTTCAATAAATGCATTCCCTTTCTTATCTGATGTCTACATTAATAAGATATCAGCTGGTATTTATTCATCCTTTTAAACCTTAATTAAATCACCAATCCTTAACTCTCTCCATTAAGCTTCTCTTGGAGGTTCATTAGTTCGAATTAAATATGTTTTACGAGTATTTTCAGCTTCATCCGATCTTCTTCTTTAGTAATCTTCAACAAAATCTTTAATCATTGAAATACAAACAACTATTGATAATGGACCCATTATTACAGGTTAACCATTAGTTATGCTAATTGTTGAAATCATCTACATAATTGCAATAATTAAAAAGTAAACATTTGCTAGTTTTGAAAATTACTCTATCAAATTTAATGGTATGAATGTAATTATAGAAGAATATTTTGATGTTGTAATCTAATTGTCAGGAACAGCTAAATCTGGAACATTAGAAACTATTGATCTGTCTAATATATAATTATTTTAGATGTACCATTCATTTAATGAGCAGGAGGTCTAACCGTTATGAAGCCTAATTTTTTAATTGTTGTTTCATTGTTATATGAATGAGAATCCATTTAATTAATATATTATTCTAAAAACGATAATGAGAATACTAGTTATTGTAGTATTGGCCCTCACAGTAATGGCTGCTCAATAAAAGAAAAAGTACATTTATTAATCATTTTTTATTTAGAACAACACCCAATTTAATTCATATTGACAACAAGGCATATTAAAAATAACATGCAAAAATTGAATATGATGTTGATTCATTTACAAGTCCCAGAACTGAGTAACTTAAGACTGCCTAGAAAAGATAAGACAGCAGTTTAAAAAGAGCCATTCTTCACAGTTAATAATTAGCTGGATTTGTTCAAATTTAATAAGAAACAGATTAATTCATACTTATGAATCAAGATGAAGACGTACACAATTTTAATTATTTAGCTTTCCTCTGAACTAATGACAGAATAATAAGTTCAATAAGCTTTATTAACTGCTGAGGACTATAATAATGTCCCAAATATTGAAATGCAAGCAGAATCAAATTATTAAGCTTCAAATATAGCTTAAGATGATGTCAATGAATCTTATTATATTCCAATTGTTACAGAAGGAGATGGCACATAAGAGGAAGTTTAGAACTCTGATGAAGAACCATAATAAAACCCAGATATTGAGATGCCTTCCTTAGATGAAACATCCTCATCATTCCTTCAATGAAAATTTAAATATTTAGCATGTAAAGATATATTCATCAATATAATATTCTAATATTTTATTCCATAAGCATTTTTTAATCTTTATTTTTAATATTATAAGTTTATTTTATTAATTTTAGATACAATTCTTTATATTACTTCACTCTATTTAAATATCAAAAGTAACCTTTTCAATTTTGATATTCAAATTACCTTATACTTCAATATACTAAAAATAGCCGTTATTACTTTTATAAAAAAAACATTAACTTCTATAAATTAGAGGTTATTGCTATTATTATACAATAATCGGACCATTAACTGTAATTGGACCTAATATTCATCTAAAATCTTTTATTTTGGTTAATTTTTTGAAGTTGTAAACATCAAAAAAAATATCAATTTTGAAAAATAATAATTAAATATTCATATTTCTTATTATTTAATAAGAATGTCTTATACATATGGTGATGATCAAAATTTTATAAAAGTTGAATATATATATTAGATGGCTTGGAAAGATAAATTGTGAAATGATAAAAATATTTATCATTTCATTTTATATAGTATTAATATAGTATTAAAGATATATTATATTATTATTATTGCTTTAGTATTAAATGGATTATTGCGTTTATTCGCTTGCTTTAAATTTCAAATAAGTTTTAATGGTAAGATTTATTATTAATAAATTGAGAAATGAGTTAAGATAAAAAGTCCTTCTTTGATTTCACATCTCCTTTTGAGTTGAAAAGGCCAATTGAAATATTTTAAAAATCCTTAAAGGATCAATTTTACATCTAAAAAAATGACAAATTTAAATTAAAGACTTTAGTACTTCAACGAAATTACTTGATCAAATTTAGTTCTAAGGTATAATGTAATGTTAAAATTTACAGAAACCAAGTTAAAAGTATTTCAATATTACCAATGCTTTACTTGAATAAGTAAAGCATCCATAAATGGGTCATGGAATTTAAATAACAAAAAACGGAGAAAATTTTACATTTTATGGTATGGTGGACAAATGGTACACCTAATTAAAAAAATGGTGCATTTAACTAAACTTTTAGAAAGAGTACTGCATGATTAAATTGGTTGGAAAGGGTAGTTTTGCTAAAGTAAATAGAAAAAATAAACATTAGGTTTACAAAATTTAAAGACTAAGTGATAAAAAAGAGTTTGCTGTTAAACTATTTGATAAAACCACTTTTAAATCTCAAGATAGAGCAGCTTTGCTAAAAGAAATTGAATTAATGAGAATAATGAATCATAAAAATGTTGTTACAATTCTTGAAACTTATGAAAACGAGCAATATATATTTATAATTTAAGAGTTGTTTAATGGTGGAGAGCTTCAACAAGAATTGAAAAAAACTAGAACTTTTTCTGAATATGGGGCATTTATAGTTATATAATAAGTAATAGAAGCATTGAAATATATTCATTCTCATGGGATTATACATAGAGACATAAAACCTGAAAATATAATTTTAAGAGAGGAAGGAATGATAGAATAGGTTGTTTTAGCTGATTTTGGTTTAGCAGATTACTTTAGAAAGGATTGTAAATATATGTTTACAAGATGTGGTACCCCTGGATTTGTGGCACCAGAATTATTACAAGATAAAATTTATGATTATAAAGTTGATATATATAGTTGTGGAATACTGTTCTACTATTTATTATTAGGCAAGGGTCCATTCGATTCAAATAATTATGATTAGACAGTTATGGCAAATTTTAATGGATGGGTTGATTTAACTAAAATTCAATTTTCTATTGAATGTCTTGAATTATTAAGAGGAATGCTAGATCCAAATCCTATCAAAAGATATTCAATTGAATAAATTCAATAAAGTTCATTCTTTGCAAAACATTCAACAGTTTTCTAATAATACGCAAGTTAAAGTAGTTTAGGTAGTATTCCATCATAAGGGGATTCACGAACTATATCCCCATAATAAAGTCCTAATTTGGAGCCAAAGAAATCACCAAGTGATCTTAAAAGTAGATTTGCGAATTCGGAAGTATCACCATTGCAATCACCAGTAAGAATAAATACAACAAGTTTCTCTCCTTTATCAGCTCCATTCGGAAAAACTTAAAACTTACAAAGGATACCAATATAAATATGAATTAAATATATATATCGAGTTATTAAATAATCATTATATATATCTATTTTCTGTTTTATCAAATTTTTTGATTATTTTAATTAATTAAACAACACTCATAAATATTTATTTTTTTCAAATTAGGAAATATATTAAATAATTAAGTATAATTTAAGTTTAAAATAAGTGTTAATATATTCCAATCAAAAAATCGATTATTAATAATTATCTTTAGAAGATATTAAAATAACTGATAATATAAATTAGAATTAATAATGGAGTAAATTTGATTAATATTATGAATATAAAGAGATAAGTGCCTTAAACTTCTTTCTTTGATAATTAAAAAGGCCCTTTATGGCAGAACACAACAGCGTCTCGCAAAATCAATGAATCTATTTAAGAAAATTTCTATGTGTACTCTAGCAAACATAAAATGTTTAAAGTAAAGACATTGCATTTGTAGAGTCATTTCATTTTTAAAAGAAAGAAGAATGTAAAAAATACATAATACAATTAAAAGGGTTAAAATCAAATAGCTGACATTCTAAATGCAACTATCTGTGAAGTAGAACAATCAAATTATGGTGCAGGAATTAGAATTATTAAATCTGGTCAAACTATTGAAATATATGGCATGACTATAATTTGGCTTTAATAGTTAAGGTTTTTTTGTATTCAGCAGGATTTTGCAAGCAAATATTCTATCATCAGGTTACTTGGAAAAGGGACATTTGGAAAAGTATTAAATTACTTTATAAATCTTAGGTGTACAAGATAAAATCTAGAATTACATAATAAGACTTTGCTGTTAAAGTATTTGATAAGAAAGCAATTTCTAATTATTAAGATTATTAGTTAATAACAAAAGAGCTTTAAATAATTCGAAGCCTAAATCATCCAGGAATAATTAAATTTTTTGAAACATATGAAAATGATGACCACATTTTTTTAATTTATGAAATGGTTGAATAAGGAGAATTATATGCTTTGTTAAAAGAAAGACATCTTACAGAAGATGAATCCTTATTAATAATCAAATAATTATTATAAGCAGTTCTTTATATTCATTCTAAAGGTATTTTACATAGAGATCTAAAGCCTTCAAATCTTTTAATGAGAGATAGAAATACTTTATCAATAGCGATAGCAGATTTTGGATTAGCAGAATTCTATAGAGTTGATGGTAAATACATTTATACAAGATGTGGAACACCAGGATATGTTGCTCCAGAAATACTATAGGATAAAATATATGACTATAAAATAGATATTTATAGTGCAGGTGTCATTCTTTTTATGATGCTAAGTGGTGGAAAATCTCCTTTTACTAGTACAGATCCAGAAGAAAAGTTATTTCAAAATTATAAAAGTCTAATTGATTATTCATTAGTATCTAATGCTTCTGAAGCAGCTTATAATCTATTATAAAATATGCTTGAACCTGATAGTTCTAAAAGAATATCAGCAAGAGCAGCCTTAAATCATTAAGTTTTTAGAAATCATAGAACCAGTAAATGCACTATTCTTATTAAAAAAACTCCAAAAAGTATTGATAAAATATCCACTCCAAGACTTATCATAAATACTAATAACAATTTAGATAAATATTTATAATTATCACCAAAATTATAAAATTTACCATAAAAACCTTTAAATAATATGAATAAGGAGGCCATTAGAAGAGGATTTTAAAAAATGTAAACATTTTCTCATAGATCTCCTTAACTTTCCCCGTTATAATCTTAAACAAAATTCGAACCATTCCCTTGATAAATGTTGTATTAATTTATATAATTTTAATTCATATGAATTTCTAACAGAATTCTTTATTTAATCACAATCTTAAATGGGAAATACTTAATGAGAAACCATTAAATGATTTTAAGACTTTGTAATTATATGTTTTTTCTAATAAAAAGAAGGAATTTCAATTTAAAGCATTAATTAAAACAGGTTCAAGAATACTGAAACAATGTAAAAATGTAAAATTATTCTTTATATAGGAAGAACAAGATTAAATATTTAGATGTAAAAAATTGCATATTAAAAAAAATACATCATTATCAAAATGGAGATGGAATTAAAATTACATCAGGTAATTTTTAATTTGAATTCTATGGTTAAATTACAGAATGGTTTGAGTAATTGAAACTATATTGCATTTAAGTTGATTTTTAAAGCAACTATATCATTGGAAACCTTATAGGTAAAGGAACTTATGGAAAAGTATTTTATAATTTCTATTCCAAAGGTTTACAAAGCTCTTTAAAAATAAAACAAATGTGAATATGCTATCAAAACTTTTGATAAAAGCAATTTACAAAAACAAATTGAAATAGATGCAATTTAAAGAGAAATTGAGATTCTTAGAATTATTCAACATCCTAGAGTTATATAACTTTTGGAAACTTATGAAAGTGAAACACATATATTTGTAGTTTATGAATTACTTAAAGGAGGAGAATTAAAACAATTAATGAATGAAAAAAAGTTAAATTAAGATTAGTGTGTTACAATTATTTATAAAATAATAGATGCTTTATCTTATATTCATTCAAAAGGTATAATACATAGAGATCTAAAGCCTGAAAATTTAATATTTCGTTATACATAAAATATTGATGATATAGTAATAGCAGATTTCGGATTGGCAGATTTTTATAGAAAAGATGGTTAATATCTTTTTGCTAGATGTGGAACAGCTGGATATTTGGCACCAGAACTAATTATGAATAAAATATATGATTATAAAGTAGATGTTTATAGTGTTGGTATTGTTTTTTATATGTTAATAAATGGAGGTAAATCTCCATTTGAGAAAATAGATTATGCAACTTAATTATAATAAAATATGATGAGCAATATAGATTTGACTAAATTGATTATTACTAATGAATGTTAAGATTTGCTATCAAAAATGATTGATTCGAATCCATAAACTAGGATAACTTCTCAATAAGCTAAAATACATCCTTTATTTCATAAATAACATGAAAAAATTGAATTATAAACAACAAGACTTCCAAAATCACTTACATTATCTTTAATTGAAACACCTAAGACCTAAGCCATTTAATCAAGTCGTTTAAAAAAATAAAGTTTTGTTTAGATATCACAAAGTGCTAAAAATTCTCCAATTGAAACGAAAAAATTGACAGGCCAAATAATTTTTTCGAATACAAAATAAAAATAATAGTAATGAGTCTTATTTTGAATGCTAATATGTTTGTTTCAATTATTATTCATATTTTTATTAAAAAAATACTAAAATTATTTTTTATTAATCAAGATTTTATATAACAAAACAAAAATAAATAAAAATTAAGATTCAATTTTTTGATATCAAATATTTATGATAAAACCTTTTTTGTAACATTCTAAAATTTCATAATAATCTATATATCTTATCTTAATAAGATTTATTTTGGTTTATTTTAAATTTTCTATGAACAAATAAATTTACAGTTTTTTTTGAAATCATATATATATATTCTTTTAAGTGATAATAATAAAAATAATAACCAACCTTATTTATTATATAAATCTAATTCAATAAAAATTGGATCTGTTCTAATTTAAATCTTTAATTTAATAATATAAAGTTATAATAATTAAAAGTATTTTTATTAGAATTAATTTTACTTTAGATATATAATTAACTATATAAATATGGATAAACTCTTATCTATCATCTTCATAAAGGTTCTTTATTTATAAGATTAATTATTTTTAACAAGTAGTTTGATGATGTCTTTTCAGAAGTAAATTTATTTTAAATATTTCTGCAAAAATATATATATTTCTATTTGTGTTTGCATAAGTTGTGAGTGATAATTTAATTAATAAATTAGATATTTTTTAAATATAAAGATAGATATTCTAATATATATAAAATGAATATATGGAAATCTTTGGAATAATTGATCATAATTCATCTGTGACAACTTCAGCACTACAAGTAGCAAATAAGACTTTTGACTTAGGCTATCCACTTTGTGATCCTTATGCTTCAATCTTTTTTACTAATTCCATATTTTCTATGACTTTTCCAAATACTACGTGTTTTCCATTTAACTAAAAGAATAATATTAATTTAATACCCAATGAGTATCAGCAGTTGTAATAAAGAATTGACTTCCGTTTGTGTTTGGTCCTGCATTAGCCATTGAAATACATCCAATTTCATGTTTTAAATTAAAATTTTCATCATTGAATTTATTTCCATAGATAGATTCTCCACCAGTACCATTTCCATTGGTAAAATCACCTCCTTAAATCATAAAATTAGGAATTATTCTGTGAAATGGTGAACCTGCATAGCTTTTGCCCTTTTTTTCACCAGTACACAAAGCTCTGAAATTTTCGACTGTCTTTGGTACAACTTTTCCAAACAAACCCAAAGTAATTTCTCCTTCATTTTTGCCATCAATTGTAACTCCAATCTTTATTTTATGTGTTACTGTCTACTTTGACAATTGAGATAAAACACCGAAAGACAATAAACAAAGAATAATAACTTTCATAATTAATTATATTATTTAAATAAAAAGCTTTATTTTAATCACTTTTGTATAACAATCAAATATCATTATCAAAATTGCCCTATTTTACTATAAAAGTCTTATAGCTATTATATATTGCTAAAGGTACTAGTGTAACAACATAAATCAAAACAAGTAATACAATAATAATAGGTAAATTAAAAATTAAAAGAATAATTTTGACAGGATCTTAACTTTCACATATCGGATCAATCTTATTTACAAAATAATCTATTATTTAAGGAATTTGAATGAATATCATTGAATATATAGAAAATAAAACTAAAATTAAAGTAGTAAATAAAAGTTAAAAAATTTTCTTAAGTCTTGGAATTTTTGTTTATTTATTTTTCCATACTCTAAAGGTATTAACACAATTGTCACATTTGTAATTTGAGAATAATGTAATACTTGTTTAAGCTTTACAATCATAACAAAATTGTTTCTTGCAAACAAAGCATTAATATATATTAGGTTTCCATTCTCTAAATAATATTTTTAATTTTACTAAAATTTCTTAATTGTATCATTTCTATGACAGAAAAAAGGTTAACATAAACTGTTACAGAAATTACATCTAAAACATTGTTTTTCTTCTAAATAGTTCTTTAATAAAATATCATTGTTGCATTCAGAACCATAATGAATTGTTCTACATTTAAAACAAAATTAAGTATGACAAGAATTGCATTTGCATTAATTAGCAGAAATTATCTCAACATTTCCTTAAATATATGTAGGCCACACAGACCACGTTCCTGAACAGAATTATCCTATACAATGAATTTTTTCTGTTATTGGTTTCCATTTTATCAATTAATTAGGCAATAGATATAAATACATAATTTAGTAATTGATTTTGGAATTGCAATCATATTAAATACAATTTACCGTATTTTGATAGTTAGCCTAAATGTAAGATAATAGACAAGTTTCACAAAAAAAATGATTTTAATCACAAATTCTGATCAACATATTTGTTTATAAACATATATTACATTAAGAGAAAGTAAAATCAAATTGAGAGGTAGGAGTCATTGTTAATTTACAATAATAAATATTAGCACAACTTTTGAATAATTTATATGAGGGAGATAAATCATATTTTACATATAAGAGAGAGATTTAATCTAAACATTATAAGCATACATTTTTAGCATTAACTCTACTATAATTAGAACTAATCTTTTTACAGCAATGGCATTCAATTGTATTCTTATTTGTTTAATTTTGTTTTACCATTAGATTTTTGGATTCATCAAAATTAGTTGATATTTATTAAAGTTCTTCTTGTTGGTTCATATTATTTTGATTTTAATATTTATATTTATTAATATAATCATTCAAGTAAATATAAAATTTTTGGGTCCATCAGATGAATAGTCTATTTATGGATGATAATGATTATACACTATTAATGTTTTTAACTTAAGAAAAGAAAATGGAGATCTTAATAAAAAGATGTTAGAATTTTTTGGAATGTTTGGATAGACTCTGTAAAATTTTAGAAGGAAAAGTACATAATTGTAAAAGCAGAGTTAAACTAAACTTAATTGGATGAAATAGGAAAGAAAATATAAATTTATTTATATTGAGCATGGTTTAATTTTGAAAAGAATTCTGAAAAGCATAAAGAATGCATTTTAAATTTGAATTTTAGACTTTAAGTGATTTTTAAATTCAAGATTAATAAAGTGAAAGAAATTTAATAAAAATATAAAAAATTAATTTAACTAGAATAGAATTTCTGGATCCTGAGTAGAAAAAATATTGGAATGAGATTAAAAGTAATAAAGATAATCAATATTTAAACTGACAATATTTAATAAGATGAATGCATAAGTCTAACAGAAAAAATAATTTTTATCTAATAAAATGAATATTGAATGAATTTAAATATTTAATTTCTATCAAGATCGACAATTTATTAAGATGATTTAAGAATGAGATAATTTAGATAGTTATATCAAACAAAATCTTAATGTTCATCTGACCCGCCAAGAGTAACCGTTCAAATTTTGAACTTCCAAAATGTTACAATATTAAAATAGGTTTGAATAAGTTTGTTAAAACAAAGAAGCTGAAGTCGATTGTACAAATGAAATAAAAGAAAAAAAAATCATAAAAATAGAACGAACTAAAATTACCTTATTACTAAAAAAGAAATACCACCACACACTTGTGAAAGGAAGAAAAATTCTTAATTTATTTGTAATATGAAGTAAAACGATTGAAAAAAAATGATTTTTAATACAAATTTTAGTTATTACTTTTTTTCTCTCGTTTTTATTTTATTTTTCTCAGTAATTGTTGTTTTCATTCAAAAGCTTTAAGTTTTTCAACCAAATATTCTATTACTAAGACTTGTTTATCAAATTTTTGATAAGATGATTTTCTTGAGCTTTCTGAGTCTGATTAGACATCATTTAAATTAAAATCTTCAAGACTTTCTAAGGAAGGACTAGGTAATGGTCTAGAATAAATATGAAAAGAATACCTTGTTTTTAATGGTGAAGAAGGAGTAAAACTTGATTTCTGATTAAAATAGGTTTGATTGGAGTCCATAGGTAGTAGGATGTTAATATATAAATATATATATTTATTAAATTTAAAATTGATAAAATCACAATTTAAAATTTGTTAATTAATATCATTTACTAATTAATTTGAAATCTGATGTATTATAATTACAATATATGACTTAATTAAAGAAAAAGTTAGATTGGTAGATGAAAGAATAAAATAAATAAGAATTATTGATTTTTATTGAATGTAATAATTTTCATAATAACTTATGACTTAATGTTGGCATTGACAACTCAGTTATTGGTGGTGTAATAGTAAATGTGACTAATCTTTCACCTTAAGGAGGAATATAGCTTTTGAAATATAGACCTCTTTCAGGTTTGGATAATTTGCATCCCCCTTAATTGATTAGATTAGTTTCAAAATTAATTTACTAATTTGACTCATTCTTATAATAAATGTAACCAATTCTAAAAATATTGAATAATAAATAACCCTAAAGTTCCATTATTATCCATTTTCATCATTACTCCTGGTAATACTTCTTCAACTTTATTATTGATTCTGACTTGATGCATCATAGCTTAAGGAACAAGATTTGGATCTCTACCAATTTATTTTAATTGCACAAATTATTCTCCATAAGTGCTTAAAATAGCAGGATGTTCTTTCCAAGATTGTACATGCCATTTAATTTTAAGGAATAAAATATATTTACCAGGAACAAAATTGACTCCTACTCTTCCGACATGTGTTTCAATATCTTTATAAAATTTACCTTCTAAATATTCATATCCACTATTTAATTCCTTTGCCAATAAGAGTCTAACATATGAATAATCATATTTTAATTCTGGTTAAGATCTATACATTCTAGTAGATTCTTAATGAACAGCAAAAAAGTATTCTCCTTCTTTTTTAATTTCAAATGAAAAATACAATCCTTTATTTCTTTTAACATTTAATCTTATTGAATTATAAATATATTCATGCTTAAAATATCCACAGAATACTGAATAGAAATATTTAGCATAATCATCTAATGACATAAAAAAGATTCCATCATTTTCTTTACCTGTATTTCCAGCTTATTCTCTTAATTCAGGAGTCCATAAATCTGAATCATCACTCCAATCTCCATTCCATTCTTTACGAGCCCATGGATTTCTTATTTTTAATAAATAAACTAATCCTCTTTAAGGATGATTAACAGTTTTAACATTTAAAATAGAATAAGCATGTCCTGCTTCTAATCCAATAGCAGAATAATCGACATTCTTACTATAAGTACCAGTAACCATAACACATTTTTATTTTACACAAGTAATAAAATTCTCTTTAAAATTTGGTTTATTTGTTGTTAATAACCAAACAGGACCTCCAGTCAAAGTTTTAATAACTTCTCTTGGATCTCCAGCATCAATATTAGTATATGACCCATTTACTTTTGCCCAAGCTTTTTCTAACAATGATACCCAAATCTCTTAATCTGCATTTTTTGTAAAGGCTATTTTTCCATTTCTGACTGGAATATTATCATCAACTGGAATCACCCTCCATTCTCCATTTACACAGAATTTAACACCATAAACACCAAATTTATTAGCTCTTTATATTGGAAATAAATCCAATATTTAATTAGGCCTAAATTATTATAGTATCATTACCATTTACATGCTATTGAACTTAAAGTTGACATAAAATAACAATCACCTAAATCACCTTAACATATATCTCTATGAGATATCCATTTATTTAATCCAGTATTACTTTTATCATGTTAAGTATCTATTGAAAATACTCTTTATTCTCCTTTGAAAAAGTCTTACAAACGTTACCAATTATTTCCACTAAATTTAACTCCTAAACTTTTAACACTTGGTGGAAAATCTGGATCTGTAAACACTTCTTAAGTTTATTAACATCTTTTTAAAAGATCTGATAATTCCTTAACTCCTGGAATCTTAAAATCAACTCCCATAAAATCTTAAAATTTTTCATCTTCTTCTCTTGTTAATTCTAAATTTATAGTTTTACCTTATTTTGGAACTGTCAATAAATTTTATGTTTCTAAATCTATCAATAATAATTATACTTTATGGTGCTTCTAAAATTATTTCTGGATCAGTTGAAGTATTTTCAAAAACGATTTCTTACCATCTTTAAAAAAGATCAACTACTACACTTTCTGAAAGAGGATGATCAGGAAATTCTTATCTCAACTTTTTAAATTATGCATCGGTAATTGACACGTAAAAAAATTCTAATAAATTTCTAAATTCGGGGTCTTAAAGTTCTTTATCTTTATTTTTATCATAGAAATTGTATAGTCTTTATATAGGTACCTTCTTTTCTCTCACTCCTCTAATTATATTCTTTAATAAAGGTAAAGATTCATATGAATTTTATGCACCAGCTCTTAATGTTAATTCTTCATCATCCACTATTTATCTATATATATCTGCTGTTATTCCTTGAGGACTTTTAAATTTTGTTATTGTCTTCAAATAAAAATGCTTTATATTCTCATTTGGAATGGCGGGATCGAAAACCTCAACCAATTATCTTATCTACTCTAATGTCAAAAATTAAGACCCAAATGCTTGTAATAATTCTTATGGGCTTCTTAACATTATAAATTAAGAAAGAGCATCTTAAATATATGAATCTGAACTCATTTTAGATATATTAATTAACTATTTACATAATATCATTTGGATATTAATTTCATATATTATACATTAATCTAAATCAATAAACTAATAAACTTTGCAATAAAATTTAATTTAAAAATAAAATACTCAATTTTTATGTAAAAAAAATACTAAACAACTTTAAAAGCAATAAATTAATAAATAAATCTTAGCTAATCAAATCACAATAAACCTTAATCCCTTTTCTCATTTAATATTCTTATTTTACTATTTGAAAAATAATATTTTTCACATTATTGTGCAGATATTTAAATTAAGTTAATTTTACCTTCTAACTCATCCATCATATCTGTATCCTCATCTTCATTATCAACAATACTATCTCTAATACTTTAAAATTTATTTCTAAATTAAGAATCATTATCTTCTCCTAAAAAACAGTCCTTCATTTTTGATTTATGCCAAAGTGGTGATGTACATTTTATACTCAAAAACTTTTAATGTTTTTTGTGTAATGATAAATTATCCATTGTTGATATTATTAAATTATTAGTTAAACTTGGTGGTAATTAAAACCATTCATTTTTTAAAGCCTCTTTAGCATTGGGTCTTTAATCTGGATCTTCATTCAATAAACTTATAACAAATTATTTTGCCTTCAATGTTATATTCAATTAATTTAATTATTGTAAATTTATTTTTGCTTATAAGTTATTTTAGTAAACTTCTAGAGTAGAATTACCTTCAAATGGTAAAGCACCAGTAAACAATGTATATACAATTACTCCAATAGAATATATATCAATTTTTTTATTGTAAGGTTTATTTCTCAAAACTTCTGGTGCTATATAACCAATAGTACCACATTTTTCTAAATATTCAACATCATCTTTATAAAATTCTGCCAATCCAAAATCCGCTATTGCAAAATCACTATAGTTATTTGAATCCTTTAAAATTAAATTTTCTGGTTTTAAATCTCTATGCATGATGTCTTTTGAATGAACATAATCAATAATTTTTAAAATATTTGATGCAAAATCCATAACAAATTATTCATTATATTTGTATGTTGGTAATCTTATTTATTCTAATAATTCACCACCATTTAAACATTCTAATATTATATATATCTTCTTTTTATTTTCAAAAACTTCATAGATTTTTGTAATTCCATCATGATTCAATTGCCTCAAAATAGATAATTCCTAAAGCAAATGAGACTATATTAATATTTAATTATAATACCAAAGAGTTTTCATTTATTTTCTTCTTGTCATATTATTTTGTGGCAAATATCTATCCTGTCTTGATATTTATTATTTTATAAACTTTTGCTTATGAACCTCTTCCAAGCAATTCGCATTTTCTAAACTGTACTTTGAAATTCCTTTAAATTGTATAGCGTTTTAAATGTTCAAACCATTTGTTTAATGAATCCTTTTTACCACATATATAAAACTTATTTCCTTCCTTTTCTAATAAAATTAAACAAATAATTGTTTCGTCTTTCTTAGTTTCATCCATACTTATCTAGGAATTCTCAAAATCAATAAACTTCTTTCTCTTTACAAGGTATTAATTGTACAAATAGTAGTGTTACTTTTTGACAAAATTATCTTTCTTATTTTAAAAATATAAGTCTTCATCACTGATAGTTAGCTTACTATTTTTATTTTTGATTTAAATTTGAAGATCTTTTGTAATTAATTAAGATTCAAATTTTTGTTACTGATTCATCACTTTCATGTTCACTATTTTATTTATTGTTAATTATATTAGTAAAACTAGTCAATTCTGATCATAAGATGATAATTTAATATTTTTAAAAGTTTGATAGAAAAAGAGATCATTGATTTAAATATCATAAAATTATAGATAATATTATCAATATTTAAATCATTATCTACCTCCTTTAATACTTAAATGATAAATTTATAACAAACTGGCTGGAGATTTAGTATACTTATAGAAATCATTATCATTCATTTCTTCTAAATTTTCATCAATACTAGATTATCTCAATTTGAATTAATATTTATAATCAACTTAAGTTTCCTCTTCTTAAACTTAATCTTAAATATCATCAAGGATGCTTAAACATTCTGAACCATTCTTTGATTTTGAACTATCTGAAAGAGAAAGTTTAGATCCAAGGTTATTCCATAATGGAGATTAAGAAATTAAGATTTATTATAATTGAGGTCTTTTTTTGATATTAAACAATGGTATATTTTTTAATGAAAGTGAAAAGAATTGTAAAGTCTCCATTTTAGGTAAATAAAACCAATCATGCTTTAAAGCTTCTTAAGCTGTTGGTCTTAAATTTGGATTTTATTCTAAAAGTAATTTCACAAAATCATACGCATGAGTACTTATTTTAGACTTTGTAAGTTGCTCAAAGTTTATTTTACAATAAAAATTATTTGTTATTACTTCATCAGTATTTTTACCATCAAATGGACTTGAATCTGTTAATAACATAAACATAATAACACCAACAGAAAATATATCAACTTTATAATCATAGATTTCATTTCTTAAAATTTCTGGAGCTATATATCCTATAGTTCCACACTTTTAAAATATATACTCACCTTTACAATTATATTCATCCGATAAACCAAAATCAGCAATTACAAGATCTGTGATATTATTCAAAGATCTTAATAATAAATTTTAAGGTTTGATATCTCTATGCAAAATTTTATTTTAATGTATATAATCCAAGGCTATTAATAAATTTTAAATTAATTCTTGTACTACTGTTTCACTATATACTTCTGTTTAACTAATCGCTGATAGTAATTCACCTCCTGCTAGATAATCTAAAATTAAGTATAAATGTTTAGCATTCTCATAAACTTCATTTAATCTTATTACATTTTTATGCTATAATTATCTTAATATCTAGATTTCTTTGAATAGACCAAACTTTGATTAATATTTATTTGTTACTTTGTTATTTATATTTTTCTTTTTAAAAACCTTTACTGCGTATATTTAATTATCTCTCTTACAATATACTTTATATACTTTTGCATGAGCTCCCTTTCCAGTCAATTTTATAAAATCATAGTTCATTCGAAAATCATTTTAAATTGTATAGATTTTAATGTAACTATACCATTCTTCAATAATATCCTTACATCCATATAAATACAACGTTTCATAATTTGTACTTAATTCTAATCCATAATACTAGTATCATAAATATTTATATTACATGATCTTTCATTGTTTTCTTCAAAATTAGGTTTTCCAAATTTAAGTACTTATTTTTGGATTATAGATATTAATTCTTTAAATTATAATGTGGTTTCTCTATTAATTCATCCTATCCATTAATCGAATAAATTTTATTCTGTTGATGATCTTAATTTAATGAACGAACTAATTCAAATACTTATAATGAATCCATTCTTTTCCATAAAATATCATTCCGATTTGGAATCTCATAAAAGTAAGAGTTATTACTTTAATTCATTTTATTTTATATTAATATATTCCCTTAAAACAAAATAATTTTGATGTCTTTTGGCTAAATAATATTATTTAAGCACTTTATATTTTAATTACATAGTCACATTATTATAATTCTAAGAGAAGTTTAAAATATAGGTCACTTTTTTTTTAATTAAGACATATTACTATATTTTCAAAAATAATTGATTAACTAAAATCTATTCATTAAATTTGTTTTATTAAATGTAAGTAAGTTAATTTTATTAAAACAAAAAATTTTTCTGTAATATAAGTAAGCTATATGAAAAAGAAATCTATTTCAAGTTTCTATATAGATTTTTTTTTGCTCTTTGTTTTCAAAAAATATTCTCAAAAGTTATTTTTTTAAATTTCATAGTTAATTCTAAGTAATTTTTGAGAAAGTTTATTATATTAAAATATTCATACTTAAAATATAATAGAAAGAATAGTAATTATAAAAATGCTCATATAAATACATTTAATTTATATTTAATATTATAATTAATAACAGAAAAATTGATTAATTTAGAATGCTCAGGATTCAAAATCGCATTAAACATGATAATGCTGAATTGCTGGCTATTATTGATAGATGTGCATGTATTATATTTTTTGAAGTTAGAAATTATGAAAGAAGACAGGTTGACTCTTAGACAAATGATTAAAGACAATAATACAGAAATAATTTCATTAGTTACAACTTATAAAAAGAAAAATGGTATTTATTATAAATCAATATTTCAGATCTAAGATTGTTATAATAAGAATTAAGAAAATTATTGAATAAAGTTAAAGGCAAATAATAATAATAATAAACTCAGATTCAATTCAATACTAAAATATAAAAAGAAAATTAAGTAAATATATCTCAATCAAAAACATCACGAACCCCTTCAAGATAAACTGCAAGTATTTAAAAAAATCGAAATTTTGTAAGTCCTCCTAAAAGATCTTTAAGTCGATAAACAAAATAGTAAAATATTCAAAAATAAGAAAATTCTCCTAGATTTAATGAAGATATAAAATAGAATAGTCCTAATTCTCCAGAATTCTAATTGTAAATATGTTAGCATAAAATATTAAGCATTTCACCAAATAAAATTGAATAACAAAGATAATAGTTGGAATAATTTGAATAAAAATTAAAATAATATACTCAAGGGGATAATTTTTAAAAATTATTTGATCAATAAGAATATGCAAAAAAGAGAGATGAAGTGGTTCTAGCTAGTTTTTAAAATGTATTAAAAAATTTAATTATTAGTTTACTGTTTAACATTCAGAGCCTGATAAAGATTAAAATAAAGATAAAGAGGAAGATTTTCAATAACAGAATCTACATAGAAGATAGTATTCTTATATGTCGATGCCCAAAGATATTGTAATTCATCAACATCACAATACTGAAATAATTGAAATAAAATTATAAACTTAATCAAAACAAGAAATATAATAACCATAAGAAAACATTATTTAAGAAATTAGGACTAATATTTAGGGGTCTTAAGATGGTTAAAAAATTAATTTTGGAAAATATAATGAAGATGTGTAGAATTAAATTTAAGATAGACAATAAGAATAAAATGAAAAAGATAAAAAATAGAGATTTGAATAAAAAAATGATAATGTCTATCAATCTTAATTATTAGATAAATACGAAGAAGATGAATATGTTTAATTTTAAAATACTTAAAATGAAAGATAGTAAACATAATAGTTTGTTGCTACAAATGATGAAGATTTATACAAGCCTATAATAACTGAAGATGATATAATGAAGAAATATGCAGATTTATTTACAGCACCTGATTTTTTGAAATAATGCAGAGCAACTTGTTAAACTCAAAAAACAATTGATTCATTTGCTGATAGTAGAAGCCTTAATTTTATAGTTCCATGTTAAAGTATGGTTTGTCAGGATGTTGAAACAACTAAAAAAGGAAAATATTAATTGTTATCATAATTAACAGCTGAATAAATTTTTGATGAGATTTTTCCTGAATCTACTTTATAGAAAATAAGTAAAGCATTTTTTAGATTTAAAATGGAAGTTGTATTTTAATAATTAAATCATGATCCATCTTAAGAAGAATTAGATGAAATGTTTTATTAGGTTGATATTCTAAGAGATGGATTTGTTGATGTTAATGAAATGGGTTAGTTTTTAGATAGTGTTTGTCCTAAATAAGATAGATAAATTTATAATAATATTGATAAAAATAATAAAGGATATTTTGATGAATAAGAATTAAGTTAATAATCTAATAAAAATGTTGCTAGATTATACTTTTAAGAATTGGATTTATTAAATACTAATAAAATAACATATTGGGAATATTATTTAAAGTAATAAAATATATATTATATTTAGACGTACTACGAATATTGGTCAATAAGTTATTAATTTAATATTAAAAAATTTAGATTGATTAAATGTTTTTATATAAAATTAATAAATTTTTATTATATCGTTAATGTTACCTTAGAAAGAATTATTAGGAAAGGAGGAAGATTTCAATCTGAATAAATTTCGGGATTCTTTATATCTTAGAATGTCGAGTCCAAGTACATTAAAAGTGAGCAGCACATGTAAAGAGGATAATTCAGTTAAAAAATCCTCAAAATCCTCTCTATATACTGATTTTTAACATAGAAAAAGGTGGGTTAAATATTTATTAATAGTGCTCCATCATTTGATGAATTACTTAAAACTATGAATACTAATAGTGGATTAACATCATAACTAAATGGATCCAATCAAAAAAAAAGTAGAAATGATTCATCAAGAAAAATGAGTGGAATATAAAATAAAATAGAAAGTTTTGGTAGTAATGAAATAAATTAGCTTACAAAATTATCACCACCGTAATGCTTATATAAATTTTAGATTTATAAACAATTAGCCTATGTATTAATCTACAAAATCTTCATAAAAAAGAACCACATTCTCGAGTAGTATTACAGAAAAACCTGTTTTTAATAAGGGATCAGGCAAATCAATTTAAGATAAATTATCCTTAAAAGAATTGATAGAACTACGTAGCAAAGTAGATAATAGTACTTAATCAGAAGTTCATTAACTATCAGCTAATTATGTTTAAGAGTTAGTAAAATTATCTTAAATTATAACAAAGCAAGTTAGGAATGTAAAATATTGATACAATGTATCTATTTACATTTATATAAAATAAAAATCATAAATGTTTTTAATGTCATATGAAAAATATGAAATAGAGGTTCAACAAATATTCTGATAAACTAAAAAAGTATTATAAATTCGTTTGAATTACTATAAATATAAATGATAAATTCTGTGTGAATAATTTAATAATACATTTTATTATTGTTAAAATGTGTATGTGAATCAATCATGTAATAATATTTAAGTTTAAAATGAATATATGCCTTCAAATTAGATTTATAATAAACATATAATAGAGATTATTAAAATAAAAATAAAGTAATGTTCAAGAACAACTTCTATTCATATGTTGGTGGTACAAGATCAGATATTGCAATGAGTATTGAATCATACTTTGAAGTGATGGAAGTCCTTTTGGATTAATATTTAAGTAGAGAAGTAATAACTAGCATTTAATATATGTAGATGTTGTTCAATTTCAAAAACTGCAGTCAAGTATTGAATGATATCGTAGTTTCTGCACCTTTAGCCTTTTTGCCGTTTTCACTTTTAGGAACATAATGGTTGTTTGCAGGAGCTAATAGAAAAGGTGCAAATAAGGCTTATGGACCAATCCTTGCATCAGTTCATATGCTTGTATTGTGGAGAGCATATACTGCTCCGATTCCTAATAAATTGTTTACTAAAATCGTTGCAGATCCTACTATTGATGGCTAATACATTAGGTATCAAATTATTAATTAATTAAGAACTTAATTATCTGTAATGAAACCTGGATTATGGTCTGTTTTAAGTAGAGAGTTATATCATAAAGGATACAGATTCCCTGAAATGTTGGAATTCAAGACTGCTACCGAATTCCCAACAGGATTTGTTAAACCATATTGATGGTACATAATATATTAAAAATATCCAATAATTTGATACAATTTTATTAATATTAAATATATTACTAAATGCAGAAAGATGAACAATATGTGACTAATTTTTATATCGAAAAATAAATAAAAATATTAAAACCTCATCCTATGGCTATTAAATTTGCTACCGACATCTTGTAAAACTACTATTAATTGTAAGCAGTAAAAAATTACATTATCAATTTTTAGAGAGAATCCATTAAAACTTTGCAATCATCACTACTTAATATTTATTAGTTTTTTTAACTAGATTAATTTGAAGGATCATTAGATATTAATAACAAAATAAATACTTTACTTGACGAAATTTCAAAAATTGATGACAACTCCATTAAAAAAATTATATTTCGACGTTCATCCCCAAGAAAATCATTAGCAAAGTAATTTTATTTTTTTATTTAAACTTAATTAGATCTTTTAAATTGTTATCTTTAAAATTAAGAATAAGTTTTGATGTTATCAGTGAAAATTGGGTCAACAAATAAATATTTCTTAATCAATTAAGATGGTCATGTCAATGTATAAAGAACATACAAAAGTACATCTACTTTTAGTAAAAAGTTAATTGAATCAAGATGTAAATAGAGTAGCAAAAAACCAATTAAAAATGTTTATCTGCAGAATTTGTGAATAATAAGTATAAGCCAAGGATATGACTCAACATTGTATTTAATGTGAGAAAATTGCAGAAAGCAAAAAAAGATTTATTGAGTTGAATTTAGAATTAGCTAATTTATGTGATTAAGCATATTAAGAAAAACGAAATGTTTAAGTTAAGTTAGCTATCAAAAAGTAAGAATTTAAAAATAGTTTACAAGAATGAAAGATAAAAATAAATTAAGGCAGTATAGGAATACTTAATATATATTTAGAAGAGTATAGACTTTAGATGATTAAGATGAGGAAGATGATGAAAAAGGAGAATACCAATAAGAATAAAATTATATAGCAAATATAATGACACAAATTATAAATTTTGCTGAAAAAACATTAAGTAATGAAGTTGAGATTGAAGATACAAAATGTAATAATTATTGAATCTTAAATGTTTAGTGACTCTAGTATTAATGAATGATTTAGTAAGTTCAACTGAATATATTGAGAATTAGGATGCTTTGACAATAATTAATTCAACTCATAAATGTTTATTAGAACGACTCGAATATCATAAAAAATAAGAAAGTTATAAGAATATTAAAAACTAATAATAATAAGATTAATCAGAGGATAGTATAATTAAAATAAGAAGAGCTTTTACAAAATCTAATTCTATTTCTTTTAGAATTCCAAAATTTTAAAATACTCCTTCATCTCCTTCATAAAGGATATCAACTGATCCAATTTAAGAAGAAGATGATTCACCAACTTATCCTTAAGTGAAATCTTCATAAAAAATTATACCATAAAGAAGAGGATTTAGAATGAATTCTTCTATATTTAAGGTTAGTGATGGATCTGAATCACCTAAATCATTAAAAAATATATTAATACCATAAAATTAATCAAAATCAAGTAGTTTTCATAATGGTGATACAAATTAATCATTAAATTCAAACAATACAGATAATAATAAGATTGATTCAATTTAGAAAAATTCAAATTTTGATAATAAAAATGAATAACGTGATTAATAATCTCCTACTTTAAAAAAATTATCTTAATTTAAATCAAATCTGGAACTTCTTAATGTTTAATAAAAATAACCATCATTAGAAGAAATTAGTCCTAATATAGATAATTTAAATCCATCAATAAAAGAAGGAGATAATTCATCAAATTTATCAAGCATTGAATCTGGATAAAAATCTAATTCTGCAACTAATAATGATTCAAGTTCTTTAGCTTTATAAAAAAGATAATGTAAAAAAAGGTCTAAATAAAAGTAAAACTTTCATTCTTAAGAAATTGAAAAAATGCAATAAAGTCATAAAATTTAACCTAGAAAGAGTAGATTCTATGAAAATTAGATATGTAAATCTCCCACAATATTGCCTGATTATGGATTAGATGAAATTTAAATTGATAAAGGATATCATTCAGATTCAAATTTAATTAAAACAGCAATTCCATCATAAAATTAATCATCCTAAGTAGGAATTAAAGATTTTGAATTTATAAAGCCATTAGGAAAAGGTGCATATGGATGGGTATTTTTAGTTAAAAAGAAAGCATCAGGTGATTTATATGCATTAAAAATAATAGATTGTGCTTAAAGAGTAATTATAATTAATATTTAGAATTTAGAGGCATTTTTAGAATAACTTAAGGCAGAAAGAAATATTTTTGAGATTCTTAATAGTAATTTTGTTGTTAAAGCTTATTTTTCTTTTGTACATGAATAATATTTATGTTTTGTTTAAGAATATATGATGGGAGGAGATCTTGCTAGTATTCTTAAAACTTATACAGTAATTATTTTATAATTATATTTTTAGGCTTTAGATGAATTTTATGTTCGTCATTATATGGCAGAAATAATTTTAGCATTAGATTATTTAAGATAATAGAATATAGTTCATAGAGATTTAAAACCAGAGAATATTCTTTTAGATACTTAAGGACATGCTAAACTAGCTGATTTTGGATTATCTGAATAAGGAGTTAATAGTAGATTAAAGTTAAAGGATAGTATGAATTCATTCAATACTATTGAAATACCTACATGTGTAGAATAAATGATTGATAAATAAGGTTATTAAACAGTATATAAACAATTAAGAAAAGTAGAATCTATTTTAGTTGATAAACCAGGAAGCAAAACTAAAAAGTTAATTATTTATTATAATTTTAGAATTGTTGGAACTCCTGATTATATTGCTCCAGAAATTATATTAGGAACATCTGCTAGTAATTTCAGTTGTGATTATTGGAGCTTAGGAATTATTATGTATGAATTATTATGTGGAATTGCTCCATTTAATGATGATACGGTTGAAAAAATCTTTGATAATATTCTTAATATGAAAATTGAATGGCCATTGATTGGTGAAGGAGATGATTGTATTTCTTAATAAGCTTATGATTTAATGATAAAACTATTAGAACCTGACTTTTAAAATAGAATAGGACATAAATCTATTGAAGAAATTAAGAATCATCATTTCTTTAAAGGTATTTTGTTTAATAATCCATAAGGAATTTCTTGGAATACATTATTGTGTAAACCAGGTTTAATTATTCCTGAATTAAATTGTGAATCTAAAGATACAGAAAATATGCACCTTTTTCTCAAAAAATTAGAAAAAACAAATAAAGATAGCGAAAATAAAAAATTAACCTAATAATTAAAAGCATAATTATAAAGCTTAGAAAGAATTGATCTACTTAAATAGAGAAGTATTTAGGAATCAGAAAAATACTTGTATATCAATTTTTATTAATTAGGTAACAAGTGAAACTTGAACAATCAAAATTAAATTAATAGATTGATTCTCTAACTCAATTTTAAGCTAAAATTTACTAAACTTATTCTAAGATGTAGTGAATAAATTTTGCATTCAGTAAAAAACATCATTCATCTTTTGTTAAATTTACAATTTTATAATCTCTCCCACAATTTTCTTTGAATTTTAATTAATTCATTCTCTCCCTATTAATTTAAATATTTATTGGCTTTTGACTTATAATTCTATCAAAAGTATTTATTCTTTATGTATCACATCTTTATTTACTATTCCAATCTTTAGAAAGATTAAATGATTAATTCATTTAATCCCCTATTAAACCATTTGGATTATTAAACTCAAAACATTCATTTTAATTACGATATTTATCATAACCTAACAATATTTTTATTAATATTAACTTATATTTCTCTATTTTAATTTATTTGAAGTTTCATTTTTATGCAAATTTTCTAAAATCCTTTTTTTTCGATTTAAGAAATTTGCTTCTTATCTCAAAGATTAATATAATTCTTATTCTTTCTTAATCATTAATAATTCTTTTATTCTTTGTTAAGGTTGTTAAGGTAATCCTAAATCTTTAGAATAATCTAATTTATCAGAATTAATATGAAAAGAATAAACTTTCTGTTTAAAATAATTTCTGATATTTTCAATTGTATCACTTTGAAACTGAGTTTATTTCTATCCGAAAATCTTTTAATTACAATTCAAATCATCCTTAAATCTTGGATAGTGTTCTATAAAATTATATTTAGGTTTTGTAGTTCCTTTCTTTTTTGGATATAATTCTGATTAATTTATTGAAGATTTTTCAATTCTCTTAGAAAAATTTGATGTTTTCAAAAAATTATCTAATTTACCTGCTGGATTATCTAATCTATTATAAGTTTCTTAAATTGCCTTGAAACTTAGATTTCTATATTATTTTTTAAAATCTAAATAGGAATTATTTATTTTGTTCATAACAATAATTTTATATAATAAATTTTAACAAATATCTATAACTTAAGAATTAAACTTATAAGGTAACTTACGTTTAATAATTATAGAATAATATATAAATAAATATGAGCTCACAAATAATTAGATAAAATTATGAATGATTTTTGGATAAGTTTAATGTTTATTTGAAAATACTATAATTTAGAATATATAAAGTAAAGTAAATGAAAGTACATTCAATTAGAGAAATTACTATTTAATTGGATTAATATTATTAAGATGATTTAGATAGATTTAAAAAAATAAATATTTAGAAAGTATACAATGATGAATTGTTATAAAGGGAGGGAAAATTGTTGAAAGAATGGAATAAATATAAATAAAAAAATCAAAATAATATTGCTAGTATTATAATTTAATCAGAAACTCTTAAGATTTGTTTATGTGAATTTTTAAAAAAAAGATGGACTTCAATGGAATTTTGGATTAAAATTGCTTTTGATTTAATAAATGAGAAAGCATATGGAAGAGTTATTAAAGATAAGCTTTTCGGATAATTATATAAGAATTAAAATGATTTGATTTCTTAATTAATACGTAGATAATGGCCAACTCGATGGAAACATATTTAGGAGGATTCTTGCTTAAATTTAGAAATTATTTAACTATATTTAGAATATTTACCTATTAGATTATTTTTATAATAAAATATTAATGAATAGACAAATATAATAGTTGATATTAGAAGAATGCCTTATCTTTAAGAAAATTATATTTTCAGATTTACAATCAAATAAGATTTATTTTTTCCAAGTGTTAAATATAGTGGAAGTCAGATGTTATAATAATTGATTAATGCAGGAAACAATTTTTGTCAATCCTATATTTAATTTATTAAATGCATAACACCTTTAATAATTCCAATACTTAATCTAATGATTTGTAGTAAATCTTAAGGAAGGACAATTAATTTATATGGAATATAATGTAAATTTATATTTGATCTTTTGATATCTTTAAAAGCTATAGGATCAAATAAAATTGAATGTACTAAAAATTCAACAAGATCAATAAAAACATATGATCAACAGTAGAAATATAAATTAAAAAATCAGATGAGTGAGATTATTATTACAATTATGGAATAATAGCACCTAAATATAGATATTATTAATGACATTAGAAATAACTTCTAAAATGGATATGTTGCCATCATAGATGAATCACTTAAAAAAGATGAATGTTAATAAAAAAGATTGATAATAATTTGTAGTCCTAAGAAAATGAGTTTTGGTAATATGGATCACAAAATAATTTTTTACAAAATACCTGATGAAGAGATTTAATAAATATTATGGAAATGTGACTATGAATTCCTTATATTTTATATGAATATGCTTTTTAATTACCCTGAGTTAGAAAATTAAATTGATAATGTGAGATAAAGAAATGCTTAAATAATGATTTGCCTGTGGAGTTATGTATTAGCTTAATTTTTTTTAAATAATTAAGATATATTAGAAGTAAAAAATGAAAATATTTAACAAGAAGATTTATATTAAAATTAAATTGAATAGCCTCAAATCTTACTTTCTGATTCAGATTAAAAAATATCTCAAAAAGATAACTAAATCACTCCAATGAAGGTTCAAAATATAGATTAAGATTAAATATAATGAAATTATTTAGTTTATTTATTGCAAAATTTCTAACAAAAATCATTGGTTTTGATACTTATTATCTACAATATTTTTATTATGAATAAATCAAAAATTCTTTTGAATAGCTGTAAATTGAAAAATGGATAACTATTACCTTAGGAAGAGATTTCAGTATCGAAACTTGAATCTTTTGAATAAGATTCTCCATTAAAAGATAGCTACAAAGATAAAATTAAGAATGAAGAATCTGAAAAAGTATTATTTTCAATTTAGCATGAAATATTTTAAAATGAAAGTAAAACAATATAGAACCAAAATAATTCCAAGTGTTTAATTTATCCTAATCCTTTAAAGGAGTTAAGGATTCCATTCGATAAAATTTAGTTTATTTTATAGCCTATTTAAAGAGAGGGAATTTTATAATGTTAAATTCGTAAGATAGCAATCTAATCTTCAAAATAAAATGCGAAATATGAATTAACAATGTTTGATTTACCAATTTTGATTGCTGAAAAAATTCAAACTTTATTTAAAAGGAAAATTTTAATTAAATAGTCCGGTTTAAATTACTTTGCTGGAAAATTAAAATGGGATATATTTGGAAAAAACTTTATTTTTCTTGATCATAAAGTAAGTCCAAAAAAATGTTCTTCAATTAATATGCAAAGATTATGTACAGGAGGAGCTAATTATTAAAAAACTGGAAAGAAGAAACCTCATAAAATTAGAGTAATTTAATGTTTAAAAATAGATATACTTGCCTGAATTAAACTCAAACAATTAAATGTACGAATATAGATTAGAAAAGTGTAAATACTTTGATAGTAAACCAAAATATTTTTAGGAATTTTAGAATAGAGAACCAGAATATAATCCAGGAGCAAAGTCTTTCGTTTTGCCATTTTACAATAGAGCTTTGATAGCATCATCTAAGAATTTATAATTATTTCAATAGGGTGACAATAAGATTATCTTTCTTTTGGGAAAGATTGAAAAAGGAGTATACAATCTCGATTTTTAATGGCCAATTCTACCTTTATAGGCTTTTTAAATAGCAATGTCATGTTTCGTATCAAGAGCATCAGATTGAATTAATAATTAATATATTTAGATTATAAATTATTAAAGCTGTAAATGTTTTTCGATCCTTAATTATTAGAGGATGCTCAAGAATCTGTTAATCAAAATTCTTAGGTTAATTAAAGATCTTAACCAAAAGGACGATCTAACATAAATAAATTTTAAGTTAAAAAAAAAGAGGAGCCGAAATAAGAAAATAAAGCTTTGAGTAGAATTTAATAAGTAACAATCATAATAAAGGTTTCAGAAAGAGATAGAAATACAGAAGAAATAATCAGAATCTCAAATTAAATAGAATGATGAAATTTTTGAAAGTTTAGTTTAATTTGATTCAGATCCAGAATAAGAAGACACAAAAAAAATTATGAATCCATTGATGGATAATCAAAATATAATAGAAGAAACTAAAGTATAAAAAATGGAATTATTTATAGCCTAAATAATAAATAAAAACATCAGGAATGGCAGAATTTAAATAGATAAGTGTATTATAAAGTAATAAACAATACAAAAAAAAACTTGGTTAAAATGAATCCACTTATGGTCAAGATTTCGAATTAGAAATTGAGAAAGTAAATATTAAGATTTTATTTAAGTTTTCAATAATTGGAAATAATCATAATTAATATTATGAACCTGGACAAAAATTAAATGAAGATGATAGTTTACCTTAATTATAGAAATAAAATAATAAAATAAAGTTTGTAGAAAGTTAAATAAAAGATAATAAACCATAAGAAAGAGTTGTTGAAGAAGATTAAGTTATTATATAGTAATAAACAATATAAGAAGAAGATAATATAATACAAAATAATAATTATTAAGAGTTGTAAGAGTAAGAAAATGATGATGAATTATTATCTTAATAATAAAAAGAATAAGAAATAAGGAAAGAATTAAAATAATAACATGATAAAATTTAAACAGATTTAACAAATGAAATACCGGAAGTAATAGAATAAAAAGATAATAAGACAGAAATCTAATAAATTGTTTAAGAATAACCTAAATAAACTTGTCCATATCCCAAACCTTTAATATCTATAGATATGCCACATGGAAAGAAACATTTTCTATTAAATCCAGCACCTAGAGGAGGAATGATTTAATGTACAATAAAAAGAGATAGAAGTGGAATGAGTAGATTTTATCCTAAATATCATCTACATGTATCAAATGGATTTTTATATTTAATGAGTGCAAAAAAGAGAGCTTGTAATAATACTAGCAATTATATAATTTCAATGTCAAGAGAAGATTTAGAAAAAGGAGATAATTTTATTGGAAAAGTAAGAAGCAATTTTATGGGAACTGAATTTATTTTATATGATGCAGGATTGAATCCAGATAAAACTAAAGATTAATCTAAACTTAGATAATAACTTGGAATTGTTTAATACGAAAGCAATATTTTAGGATCAAAAGGTCCTAGAAAAATGGTGGTATCATATTATTTTTGTTATCTAGGTTTTATTACCAAATTTAGATGAAAGAGAATAACTCTATGTTTTTAAACCTACAAATTCTAAAGATGGAATACTTAAAGAATTTTAGAATAATAATAGAGATCACATTGTAACTTATGTTAATCGACCACCTTAATGGAATAGTAAACATAAAGCTTTTGTTCTTAATTTCTATTAAAGAGTAGATAAGCCTAGTGTTAAAAATTTTTAACTTATAGTTGAAAATAAAGAAGATAATATTTTATTATAATTCGGTAGAGTTGGAGATGATCTTTTTAATTTAGATTTTTAATATCCTATTACTCCTTTATAGGCATTTTAAATTGCATTATCAAGTTTTGACTACAAAATTGCATGTGAATGAAATGTTTTGTCATTAAATAAATAAACAAATTATATATATATTCATTAGAAATGTAAAATAAACCACTAGATTGGATTTGTATCGGATGCAAAAACCTCAATTATTCCTTCAGAAAGTATTGCAATCGTTGCCATACATTTACAAGAGATGTACCAGGCACCAAATTTATTCCTCTTGAATAACCCAGCATTATAGATTCACTTAAACTTAAAGAACCTGATCTTACAGGTAGTGGACATAGTACTACTGACAGTATAGAAAGTAATTTATCAAATCAAAATGCATTTCATCAAGCACTTTTCTTAGAAAATTTTTCATACACAAAATAAGAAACGGTTAATAAAAACTTTGATTTTTTAAAGTCCTGTAGAATTTGTTCAACAAAAAACTACTTTTATTAATCCAAGTGTAAATAGTGTGGATTTCAAATCTCTCATTGATTTTCAGATCTAATTTCAACAATTTTTGATTATTAACATTTATTTCTTGTTCTAATATTCCATATTCAAAATTAACTACTTAATTACTCTATTTTCTATCCAAATTTTTAGAATTTTCAAAATTTATTCTTTATTACCACTCAGTTTGCCTTTTTCTATTTTATAAATAAAATTCTGTTGTTCTAAAATTTTTATTTTATTCTAATCTTCCTTTTTTATACATATTTCAAGATAACTAGCAAAACATTATATATTATTTTATCCAAATTTTGTTTAAAGTCATTTTTGAAGTTCCAATATCACTAAACCATATTTTATAAACATAAATTAAATAAATCTGATAAATTCTAACATTTTACCTAATATTTAATAAATTTGTATTATTAGTCGTATAATTAAACTTTCATTTCTTTGCCTTCTGCTTTTTTAATAATAAAACTTGTTATTTGATGATATTTTAATATATCAATAACTTTACACAAATTTTTAGTATAAATATTCCTTAAACTTATTTTAATCACATAAAATAAATATTTTTATATTAATGAAGAAATTTATTGGTATTTTTTAAAGTAATCATTATTTGAAAATATGATAGATTTGAATAACATAAAAAATATAAAACAAGATTGATGTTATTTTTTTTTAAAAAGTTATCAGAATAAAATTAGCAATTCAAATTAAAACAATTTAAAGTTAATATCAAAATATATATTTAAAATCTATTGATTCATTGTTAAGATTAAAATTTAGATGGCTCATTTGTAATTGACATATCCAGATTTGAGCAATTTTATGATTCCTATATCAATGAAAAAAATAATTTTGATGAATAAATTAACATATTCAAACGTATATGCACAAACATTAGAAAGTCACTATAAAATTATGAATAAGAAATATATAATTTTTTAACTTAATATTAAATGATTAAATAAGATAGAATTAAATATTTGATATAACTGTTAATAATTTAAATATCTTGAAGATAACTTTATTGATAAAAGTTTATGAATAAATAATTTAATCTTACTAATTTAAAAAAAATGGAATTTTTGAATATTAATACAAAATGGAAATATAGTATAATAGAGATATCTAAGAGTTTAATTGTAGAGTATTATTTAAATCTAAATTAAATTAGTTCATTATAAGTCTTTATTGAAATTAGTTTGATTTAGATTATGATAATTATATATAATATATATATTAATATTTTTCTCAATTAGATTTAGAATTTTTTCTAAACCAAGGAATGAAACAGCTAACTTGTTATTGATATTTTTTATAGGATGGTCTTTTTTTCAATAAATGAGACTCCATATTTGGGATTGAATATGCCAAAAACATAATTTGGATTCCAAGTGCTCCGATTCCCCAATACCAATATTTCATTCCAAAGGATAATGATGCTATATACATTCCCCACCAAAATAGACATTCTCCAAAATAATTAGGATGCCTGGAATATTTCCAAAGTCCAACATCACAATCTCCTTTAATTTACTTAGTTCTATAAGGATATAATTAATAATCTGCAATCCATTAAATAATTACAGCGATTATTGATATCAATAATCCTATTTCATATAAAATATTATGATTTTAGGTTTCTTTAATAGTGTAATAGAGTGGAATGTAACCCAAATAAACAATGACTGTGGGATATATATGAAATGAAAGTAAACTAAATATCCAATAAATAAAACTATTATTTATTTTATTTTTAAATTCTTCATATCTAAAGTCTTCATAAGAAAGGCCTAATAATATAAATAAACATATTACCAGGCCAAAATCTAAAATAACTGATATCTTATTTAATGCAATAAAAAAAACAAACTAAAACGGGCCACCATGATTAACTTTCAAAACACCAATATGCTGTAAAATACATAGGGACTATATGCCAATAGGGGTCATAAATTGAGGAATTTCTATATATTTATTAATATGAATGGCTTTACTTAATTAAGATTGATTAAATAAAGACAATGAATGTAGCAATCAGATCGACAATAAATTAAGAAATTAGTTAATCTGGATAGAAGTTTTCTACTATTTTTGATAATGGAATCCTTTTATAATTGATGAAAGTATACCATAATACTCCACTAATGACATATGGAATAAGCATATGCTAAAGTGATTGCTAATAAGAATATTTCATTAATTTTAAGAATATTATTAATCTTTCTTTAAAAGAAAATTAAGAAAATATTTAAATTATATATAAATATTGATTCTTATATTAAATATATAATATAATTTAAACGATTTAAAGAATTAGATTTATGAAATATATAATAAAAGAAAAAAAAAGTTTGAATTCAAAACATTGAAAATGAATTACAAATCATAATTTTGGATTAAAATCAATTCTTTTCCATCCAAAAATTTATTCTTTAATGTCCCAATTATCATAAGGTTTTCTAAAGAATAAAATGAAAATTGTTACCCAATTCTTTAATTAGTAAGAAAATATTATCCATTTTCAATTTTGATAATTAATCTTCTTGAATATTAAGGACATTCCCATCCATTTACTTCATAGTTTTATTCAGCTAAATCTATATATTATTCTTCTAAATTAACATTAATGACAACTGCAACATGTCCAAATCTTTATTCATTTGAATAAGGATATATAATGAGATCACCAAGTTTAGGTGGTCTAAATTATTATAAATAAAAAACTCTTTAGAGCCATTAGGATAATTAATGAATGGAAATGTTCCTTCTTCTTTTGTACAATCTTCAATAGTTTCTAAATCCCAAATATGATGAGCATGTGGAACATCTTAAAAGGCAGCTTTAAAATATAAAGTAAGAAATCTTCTAGCATATTCTACACATTGATATCTTTTTTTTAAGATTTCAGATTTACTTAAATCCAATATAAACATCTCTTGCTAATCCAGTTTCCTCTTTAGGCCAATAACTCTAATATTCATGAATTTTATTTCTATCAAATACAAAACCAATATTAGAATAAGCAGCTACACCAAAAGGTTAACCCAAAATTGTTCCCCAAGCTGGATTATTCATAAAAATTTAATTTAAATAATCAGTTAATTATTCTAATATATATTCATTAACCTTTTTTTCTCTTAGGTGGTAGAAGTGGTATTTTCTTAAGCTTTTTAGTTTATGAACCTAATTCTATATATTTATTAATTCTTTTTACATTAATCATTAGATTAAAGTTAAACTTATTATGTTATTACTTATTCTTTTGGATCATCATTAGAATAATCTGATCCTTCATCTCCTGAATTATTTTTATCATCTTTTTATTAATTCTTTAAACTATTCTATTCTATTTCTTCCATTACTTATTTAACTTTTATTTATTCTGGTTCATAACAATCTATTATTGATAAACAAAAAGATTAAGCAATTTTTTATAGATATCCAAATTAAAATGAAAATATTCATATTTACCAAAATCAGCTCCACAAAATGACATTTCTAATGTAAAACAATTAATTATTGAAAGCTCTCTCCATAAAGCAATCTTGTTATATTTAATAATAATATTATTACTCTTGCAGAACCTCCTCTATCTTTTTTAAAGTAAGAAACAACAATCTTTAAAAGAGAAAACACTATAATTATTTCTATTAAGCATAGGAAATACTAATTCTTTTCTATTTGGATCTTTTCCTTAACAGCCATACATAAATATATTCTTTTTTCTTGAATGACCATGAATATCACAAAATAATACTAAATCTCTTTCTTCTTTTGTTTTTTTAACTAATTATTTAGTATGATAAATAGTAGGATGTTGTTTTTTATCCATTATCTATTTAAATCAACACTTGCTAAATTACATCTATAATTTCCATTTACTACTCCATCTATATTAAGCATAGGAACTATTTTAAATATAAAATTCTCTCTTAGAATTCTAGCTTCAAGTGTATTTCCAGTTAAAAAATCTATCATATATTCCATTACATAACTAGCCATAGTTTCACCTGGATGAACTCTAGATGTTATTACAATTCCCTTTTTCTCTTTTCCATTATTAAAATCACCAATAATTAAAAAATCACATGTATTTCCAGCTATTGTTTAACATAACTATTTTCTTTTGACTCTATTTTTCTTTCCTGGATCACATTTCAATTATTTAAGATATCTACATAAATGTGTGTATGTATAAGGATAACAATGTGCTATATAAATACAATCAAAATCATATTAAAATTTAACTGCAAATGTTAAAGTGTTATAAAATCCACCATTCTTTCTTTTCATATTGTTTTAATAATAACAAATTTCATGTCCATCTCTAAACCATCCAATTTCTATATATAATTTATATTTTTACTTTTATATTTTGCTCCCAAATCAGAATACATTAATGGTTTCATTCCAGAATTATATAGTGAATCAGGTTTCATCATATTTATTATATTAAATCGATATTCAACATTTTTTCTTGTATTTGATAATGAGAAATAAAACCATTAAGTATTCATTGTAGTATAATAATCTGGTTTCAAAATCAAATTATATTCATAATCACATCTATTATACTATTATTATTTATACATTTATATTGCTCTTTTCAGATTCAAATCTGCTTTCAAAAACTAAAGTTGTGTCTTCTTTTGTTTAAGGTATGTAATAAGGTAGAACTTCTAAACCATAAACATTAGAATCTGTATCCTGTAATTTATATATATCTTATCTTTTTTATCTTATTAAATGGACTAGGATCTGCACAATCAAAAACCACTTTATTTAATAAAGTATCTGCAAAACAAATTCTTTCTATTTCTCTTCTTAAACTTTCCTCCAATATTGTTTACTTTGGTATATACATTGGTTCAAATGGTTCAATGTGATTTATGAATTCAGGGGAATTAGGTAATAATACAAAATCAGTTCCACTTTACATTTTATTATTAAATACGTTCTAGTTAAGTACTCTGGATCCATTTTTTTTAATTCATTCTTTTACTCCTCTGTTTTAAAATACAATGACTTATTTATTCCAAAAAAGAATTCTTCTTAATTAATATCCATCCTATATTTGAATTATTTAATTATATTATCATTTCACTCTAATTCTATTCAAAATTCCATGATTATCACAATGACCATCATGAGGAAAATGCAAAATTTCATTCACTAAATAATCTATATGTCCATTATGGATTACTATTGGATGACCACAATTTGGGCCATGAAAATGTAATATTTTTGATATTGCAAATGGAGTTTCTCCACAATTTCCACCATTACAAGCTAAACAACAATTACTAAATAATTATTTTTATTTGCAACAACATTACTCTTATTTACAATCTACACATTTAATTAAATCATATTGTATTTGTGATTCAAAATGTTAATGATCTTTAATTGGATTACAGTTTTGTTATTATTAATCAGTTAAATCATGTAATTCAATTCTGCCAGTTTCTAAATATTATTAATTAAAAAATTACTTTCATTATAATTATATAATCGTCCATTAAATAATATATCAATATGATTAGAATGAAATATTTAAGGATGTGATGCTGTAAAAAATATTCTCAAATCTGATGAAATTGAATTAATTTGTTAGAGATTTATAAACTAATCTGTGTTTTCTAATTTTTTGTGGATTTTCTAATGTTTTTTTAAACTACATTTATAAAGAAAAGTTCGATTGCATTCACAAACATAACTTTATCTTTATTTTTTATGTTTATTTTAATGTTATTAATAGTTTTAATTTGTTATGAATTACTTTTTACAAATCTCACAAGCGAATGGTTTCTTATCTTTATGTTTGAATTAATGTCTTTTTAGATTTGAAATTTGTGAAAATTATTAATCACATTCATTACAAGTATATGGCTTAACTCCTGTATGAATTCGGTCATGCTTTTGTAAAGACGAATATTATCGAAACTATTAATTACAAGTTACACTAGTGAATATTATCGATAAAAACTAACCATTTAAAGGGTTTTTCCCCTGAATGGATTAATTCATGTTCTTGTAAAGCACGCTTTAATTTAAATACTTTATTGCATGTATTGCACATGAGTTCTTGCTAATTCATCTTTATAATAATAAAAAAAATAAAATAAAATTAAGTCTTCTTTTACAAGAATATAATACTTGAATAAATCTAATAATAATCAATCAATAGTTTCAACAAATTTTTAATGATTATATCAAATTCAAAAAAACAATCTAATCTATTTGAATATTAATAGTTTAAATAAAATCAATTGTCATTATCTTATCCACTTCTTTCAGCATCATTTTAATTTTAAAGTTCTTGTTTAAGTGCTTCAATATTAAGAAATTTAATTCCTTTTTTTCTATTTCTTATAGTTCTAATTTTCCCTTAGATAAATATGATGCTTGACATTTAACCACTATTATATGGAGTCTTTTCAAATAATTTATAATAATCATGTTAAAATTCTTTGCCTTTATATGAACTTGATTCCAAACTAATAATGAGTTAAATTTATACTCTTTTACACCATATTTTAATTCCACAGATAGTTTAGTTAAACTAACAATAACATCATGAAATAGATAACCCATAAGACCATCTTTATCTTCATATAATGGAATATTTAAAGCTTTAAGAAAATTAGTTTTATTAGCAGGATCTAATAGTTCCTTAACTGGAACTCCAAAGCATATAGCTATTTCTGATGATAATTTCCAAAATTATTTATAATTAAGAAATCCTGTTCCTTTTGGATCATATTATGCCCAATAATTTAAAACATCATGTAATTAATATTTAGAAATTGCACTTTATTCTGATTTAACATGTTCTTCATATGCTCCAAGAATCGAAGCAATAAATAAATTTAGTATTACTAAAGAAAAAATAAGATGAAAAGATATATAATAAGCATATGCCCAATATGTTCCACATCCATTAAAACCATGTTCCTAATAATCTTAGAAACTTTTAATATAGATGCAAGCAAATTCTGGAGTTCTTGTGTGTACTGAATCAACTAACAAAGCCCACCATTATTCTGAACTAGCAACTCTTATTAGTGAAAACATAGCAGTAGTAAATTTTCTAAAATGAAGATCAAATCCTTCTATATAAATTTATGGTCTCAAATATCCGAATAAATCCATACCTAAAGATGCATAAATAAATAAAAATAAAGCCATTATAAATATCATTGCCAAAGCAGATGGAATTACTGAAAATATTGTATTAAATAATTTCTCTAATTCTGGGAATCGTCTTTAATATAAATAAATATTAATACCTTATTATGTAATAGTTTCTTAATAATTAAAATGCTACAGATACTGCTTTGCAAGATCTAAGTATTTAAAAGTTTTAGCTTATTTATTGTAATATAAATAAATCAAAAAGATTCAAAATAATTCCAAAACAATCTATTATTTAAAAAACATCTCTTTTTTTCCCTTATTTAACTATAAATCTAACTGTAATTTCAACTGCAGATATCAATATGCAATACTAATTAATATGAAGTAAGACATTTCTAAATATCTCATTTTGTCTTGTATAAAATAAAGATAAAATAATTGTATTAATTCCAATTATAGTATGCCAAAAGTATTTAGGTTTTTTACTTTCAGCAAAATAATACAATAGTTTTAAAATTTTACTTTTAGGTAATTCATAATTAACTCTTGGAGTAAGATTATTAATACTATTTTTGATTTACACCCATTCTCTTTGATTTCCATTTAATTCTGACATACCTTGAGCTTTTATTTTTGTTTCTTAATATGTATTTACAACCAAACTGATAAACATATTAAGCATACAAATATTACCAATAAAAAAAAACACTTAAAAATATACTGCCCACCATCTATTATGATTATTAATAGGAACAAGATCTTTACCTCTTGAACTCCATGTATCTATTAAAATAGGTAACCAAGCCTCAGTAGTTGCAGTAACAAACAAAGTTAAAGCACTATCAAATACATTATCAAATCCTAATATTTTATTTACCCATGAACCACCATTATCCATACAATCCCATTTATCATTTACTTAGCCTTAAAATAAACTTGGCATTGAACAATAATATAGACTACCTTTTAATAATTTTGTTGCAAATATTCCATATACAAGTAGTATTACAAAACAAAATATACTTAATTGAATCATTGTTAATAAAGCTTTCATTAATGCTTATGATACATAATTAATATTTTAATTTAATTCTGCTCCTATTCTTATGAATTCTAAAATTCTTAAACTTGAAAATAAATTAAATATTAATTAATTGTAATTGAAGATTGCAGCAATATCTATAGTAGTAATAATGAAATTTAAAACATTATATGGCGATTTTTATAAATAAGATTCTTTTCCTATTATAAAGCCATCACAAATAATATTTAATGAAATTTGAATACAAAATAAAATAGTATTTACTAAATGTACTGTTCTTAAAATTTGAAATAAATCAGATTCAGGATTTAAAAATGGAGTCAGTAATATTATTCTTACCACACAAATTAATACAAGAATAATTAAAAGCATTCTAAATGGTAAATTTTCAATTAATTATTTAACAAAAATACGCAATGGATGTTTTTCAGAAAACATAAATAAGGTTTTGTTTTCTTATTCCTATTATTTTATCGCATCATCAGATTTTATAACTTATTATCTATTTTCTTATTATGGATTTTCTTAAAAAATAATTAAATTTTCATCTAGATTCTAAAATGAGGATTGCCCTTAATTATTTACCATCACTGAATTAGTTTTCTTTTTTGATCTATTAAATTTAGGATCCTTAATTTAGGTAGACTCTCTATTTTTCTCTTTTATAACTTATTAAACAAGCTATAGTTTTGATTCACCATCTTTATTTTCAATCTATTGGCTTTTTAATAATATCATACCTTCATTTTCTTATTAGAAAAAATCTTTTTATAATCTATAGGTTTCAAACTTGTTTATACACTTTCTATTTATAATCCAAATTCATTTAAAAAAATGGCTGTTAATAATCTAATAAAGAAAATTTATCCAAAAACTACACAAATTATATAAAAAACAATCGAGGCTTAAGTATATCTACCATATTTATACATAGTTATATGCCATTCTTCATTATAAAATATATTAATAACAGCCATAATAGCAGATCCAAGATCATCATAATATATTGTCATATTTTATTCAGACATTTTATATTGCAATAATTGTTTACCAAAGACCGACATTAAAAATATAAGACAAATCCACAAAAATAGTATTTTCTTAAGAGCTATTAATGTACTAATTAAGGATCTAATAAGAACTGCGATTGTATAAAATACTTTAGCAAAAAATAATGATTTAAATATTCTTAAGATTTTAAGCGATTTTATAAAAATAATTTCTCGATCATTATTATATATGATTGTTTAATCAAAGCTAATTAAATATAATATTAAAAGCCATTGTGAAAAGATTATTAAAAAATCAAAAACATTTATTTTTTTGGAAAAATAATCTTATATTCCTTTTCCACAAAATTAAACCACAATCTCAAAAAATGTGTAAAGTATGCAAATAAAATCAATCAATTGTAATCTTGCATATTAAATTTTAGGAATACCATCATAATCAAATGCGATAACTAAAGCAGAAAGAAAAACAAATAAAGTATTTAATACTGAAAACTTAGGAGAATTTAAAATTTTATTAATAAATAGTTCCTATTCAGTTTCCTTAATATTAATATTTTATTCTTCTGTAAAATAAATACTAAAATTAGAAGTTTAATTTCCTTTTTCTTTTTATTTACTAATAACACTTAAACGATTTATTAATTACTATTAATTTTTTCTTTTGATTTCTTCTTCTATCTATTTTTATTCTTATTTTAGTTTTTTTTAGGTATTTTTAATTGAAGATTTTTCCATGAATGATTCATAAAACAAAGCTAATAATAAATTAGAAAGTATAAAAGCCATTAAAAGAATCATAATTAAAAAATAGGTTGCAGTTACATATGTTGTCATTGCTTTCCAAAACTAATAAATAATTTAATAAAAAATACCATAAATGTTGTTCCAGACCAACCAGTTACATTTAAAAAAGTAAAGACTACTAAAAATGAATGAAAAAAGTCATCAAATCTTGTAAAATTCCAATTAAATGCTTCAACATCATTTTCAGTGTCATTTCTTGGAAGATTGTATTCTAAAAGACTTCCACAATATGTATTTTCTGGACATTCCCATATACCACATAATTTTTATATATTTGGATCTGCTATCCAAACATTATCTACAGGATACTCTGTAATACGACATCTTCTTTCTGTTAAACCAATAAATAAGTGTAAACCAATAATTGAAAAATAGATCATAACTAAAAAAATAGGAATCAGAACTGATTTGACTCTTAAAAAGCTGCCAACATAAGCATTAAATTGTATCTTTAAAATAGAAACCTCTTCTATGAATCTAAATATTCTTAAGAATCTTATAGTTTTAATTATTTGTGAAATTTGTGAATCAGCTAAAAACAAAAACCATGTAAATAGAAATGCTAAAAAATTTAAAATATTCCAAATATTCTTAAGATAAGATTTCTTACTAAAAATGAATCCATAAGCAATTGATTTAAAAATGATATCAATTGCTAATATACAATTAACAACAATTTCTATTCCTTAACTTACTTTAGATTCTTCCATACAGAATGGAATAATTCCAATAATGGCTATAATAATAAAGATTTTTTGATATTTCCTTAATAAAAGATTAAATATACTTTGACTTGATAGTGGCAATAACTTTAATTCTTAATGGATTATCGATACCAAAAATAAAGAAAGAGTTACTTGTATTTTATTCATGTTGCATGATTAAAATTCCTAATCTTTCTGGGTTTTTTGAACTTACTAAATCTGGACGATTAAAGAGATTCTGCCAGTCAAATATTTCTCCTTCAGAAATTAAAATTTATTCAAGTCTCATAGATTGAATTGACTAGACAGCTTCATCTACTTGGGATTATGGTAATTCTTTAAATTCAATACCCAACTTTTTAAAAGTGGAAGACATTATTTATTTTTAACATTAAAAATATAGATTTTGACTTCATCTAAATTCAAAACGAACTCCACCACCTCCAAATGGGAATTATTAGAAACCTCCTCCACCACCAAAGAACATTTGAAAAACTTAAGATGGATCAACACCTCCATCAAAACCTCCATTTTAATCATTTGGATCAACTCCTGAATCATAAAGATCCTTTTTTTTTTTATCAGATAATACTGCATATGCTTCAGCTATATCTCTAAATTTCTATTATCCTAATTACTATTATTTATTAATTATTAATTTATACTTTTGTTTCTTCATCTTTGTCTTTCAATTTATCAGGATGCCATAATAATGCTAATTTTCTATAAGATTTTTTTATTTCATTTTCTGTTGCATCTCTACCTACTTCCAATATTTTATAATAATCTTTCTTTTTTGCTAATTTTTCTTTCTTTTGACCTTCTCTTAATTTTTATGCCATTTCTTATTCTAAAGATGGTTCTATTTAAATAACTTATTAATAATCTTGGACTGAGTCTCCAAATTATCCTAATTTATCATATGATTCAGCTCTTCTAATTAAAGCTTTATAATATTATGGATTTAATTCTATAGATTTAGTAAAATCATCAATAGCTTCTTTATGTTGATTCATTTTTTATTTAACTAAATAAAATAACAATAAAATACCTAATCCTCTATTAGCATATATTATTGAATTAATTTTACGATTATATGGATCAACACTCAATGCTTCTGTATAGCATTCTATGGCATCATTTAATTTAACCTCTTATAATAATTAATTTCCTTTTTCTTTTAATTCTTCACATTTTCTTGCCTTTTTCAATGCTTCTCTACATTTCTTATTGTCTGGATCCACTTTCATACCATCTATTAATATTTTCTTTGCTTTTTCACTATTTCCATTATATAAATCAATTATTCCCTTTAAATAATAAACATCTGGAGTTGATCCATGTTCACTTTATATTTACATTAACCATTTACTAGCCCTATCATTTTCACCACACTTTGCTAAACATTCAACAAATAAAATCTAAATCTCTAAAGATTATGAACAAACTTATATAACTTATTAAAATTAATATAAGGCCTTTTAATAATCTTCATTTTTAATTTATTTCAAACCCTCTAAATAGCTTTAACAAATCTAACTTAATTTTATTAATTACTTATTAAGTTGTCTAATACTCTTATTTCAATGATTAATCACCAGGTGTTATTTACAAAGCTGCATTAAGTGAATTTACACTTTCTTCTAATCTTCCCAAATTTTAAAGGGCAAGTGCTTTCCTTCTGAAAGTTTTTACATTATTTGAATCCCTCTTTAATGCTTATTCTGTGTCATCTAAAGCTTTCTTGTATTATTTTAAGGCTAAATAACAAGCTGCTCTATTCGAATAATACACAGCCTCATTTGGATTATGATCTAATTATTAATTATCTATTTTATATACCTATAGCTTCACTATAACATTTTATTGCTTCATCATACTTCTTTTCTACAAAGAATTTATTTCCTTCCTCTTTTTTTGCCAATGCTTCCTATAAAGTAACTTCAGAAACTTAAATCATATATTTAATTGCAAAATTAACTTTTTTTAATAGAAATCAAATCTAGTTAATGAATGCTTTTAGAATTAATTCGTAGCTAATATTATCTTATATTCCTGCTTTTAAGAAACCACCTGATATTTTTAATTCAATCTTTGTCTCCTTCCATTATCCAATCTTCTTCAAAGCTTCTATTGATGCAATAAATTAATCTGGTTAAGGTGGCTTAAATGTAAATGTTATTACAATCTCATTACCTGCTTATATTGAACCTTTTTAATTATCACAAATAAAATATTTCTCATCTTTCTATTTAATTATCATAAATTTATATTACCGATAGTATTACTTCATAATTTACAGGTTTCTCCATTTTTTGATCTAAAAGTTTACAACTACCAATTACTATTTTTCTAGAATTATCTTCTTCTTTCAATTTTTCAAATTCAAGCATAATTTTATTATTTAGATATGTATAAACCTTCTCCTCGTCTTTTAATTTCAATTAATCAAAAGGAAATTCAATTTTCTTATTTATTTCATTTATTTAAGGAATTAAATTATAAGGCTGATAAATATTTACAAAAGCTTAACGATTATAACAATAACCCCAAATAAAAACTCTCTTCTCAGATTTCTAATTTGGTACATGAACTGATATAAGATCATAAAATTTATCTGAAACTCGATCAGGCTTAAAGATCACTTTACATGTTATTTCTTATTAAGCATTAACAATAGCCTCTTAAGGTATAAATTAAAAGACTTCAGTTCCACAAGAATTTTAAACACCTCTAGCTTTACTAATTAATTAAAATTTAATTGGAAAATTTGAAACATTAGTTATTTTAAATGTTTTTTCTGCATATTCTCCTAGAACTACACCTCCTAAAGATATTAATCCATTTTCAGGTACTACCTTTACTTCTGGTCTAACACCTATTCCTTTTAATTTAGCAGAAACCGCTGCATGATCACAGTATAATTTTAATGTCTCCTCAAATGGTTAATCTTCTGTTGGTTAAAATTAAACAATTAAAGATTTCTTATTACTAGATTCTATTGTTCTTAAAGCATTTAAAATAGTAAATCCACAAGAGATTGGTAACATTTCCATTTTCAATTCTGCTTTAAATGGAGTTTAATTAAAAACAGTAAGTTCTTTTGTTTATCTTATACCAACTGCAACTTCTCCAAAATCTATAATGGTCTTACTCAAAAGCAAACTCTTTTAGACAGTCACAGTTGAAATTTATAAATATATTAAAGATTTAGCATTATCAGACATATCAGTATATTTAAAATAGCAAGGAATCAACCAAAAATAATGTTATGAATAATCTTATGGGATAAGGTAATATTTTACTTAAATCTTCAGGCTTATTGAATTCAACAAGAGTTCCTCCTAAATTTCTTAATTCCTTAGCACTATCAAACTACTTTTCAAATTCTTCTCTTTTTAATCGTTCTTCTTCTTATTTTAGTTTTTCCAATTCAGCTTATCTTCTTTCTTCTTCTTCAAACTATTATTATTAAGCTTTTGTTAATTTTTCTGGTTTTTTCTAATCTTTTTTGACTTCTTTTTTGGCAGCCTTACCTTTAGCTGCCATTTCTTCTTCTTTTTTCAATTCTTCTTATTCCCTTTTCTTTCTTTCCTCTTCTTCATACCTAATTTTTAATCTTAATTCAAAATTATTATTAGGATCATTTTCATATTTTTCTTTTAATTCTTATAGTGTATAAGCTCCTAATTTTTTGAAAAAAGAATCATATTCTAGATGCACTTACATTAATTACTCTCTTTAGATTTATTAAACCATAGGAGCCATTTTAAGACCACATAATTCATAAAAGGGTAAAAAAAATTCAATTATAATGTCTCTTTAAGATATATTTTTGATATCAATAGTGGTTGAATATTTTTCATCAATTTATTAAACTGGTATGTCAAATTTGAGTCCTGAAAATTCTAAAGGACATTTAGAAATTTCACAAGTATAAGGTATTCTGATTTCTTTTGTTGAAATTGTACCTGAAACAATTTTGCATTTTAAGATTCCTTCATCTTGTCTATCACTAATTCCAATAACTTTTTGAGTCCTATATGTAATATCAGTTGTAAATTTTTATTTAGGAAGTAAACGTAAAGGTACTAAATCAGTTGTGATTGAAATTTCTTTAGGTAAAGGATATATAGCTAATTCTTGTGGTAAATCACTTATATTTTCAAATGTGATAGCTCTCTTTGCTCCTTATCCATCATATAGTTTTCCAAAATCTAATCTTGCTGGTGTAATCTAGAGTGTAGCCATAGTCATTTAAGAAACAATATTAAAAGGGACAGGCATTTTTTAATCAGCTCCAATTAATTTGAATGGAACATCTATTATATTATCTTTGAAAAATCTTTGACATATTGTTTATAATTATCTTTCTGCATTAAATTTTACCCAAATTTCAAATTTAGAATTTCCTTAAATATATCCAAGTTTTGGATTAAACTCAAAAAAATCTTTAGTTTCTTTTGGAGTTTAAATTTAAATTTTCATAGCATTTTAACTTCTATTAAAAAATACAATCTTTTCTCTGTAAATATGATTAAATAAACAGATTTGAAAATTATAAATTGATTTTTCTACATAAATAGGAACTTCAGTACAATATCCCCTGATTTCTATTTAACATGGAGGAGAATGTAAGAAATTTTCATAATACAAAGTAAGAGGCAATGAGAATGGACCAACTTCAGCAGGAATATATTAAATTGGTATTTTAAGCATTGAATATCCTTATAAAACATGTTATTTTTAGAATTTAAGTTATTTTAAGAAAGGTAAAATGCCTTCTTCATCAAAAGGTCGATCCCTACTAGATTTTTAGGAGACAGATTCAGTAGCAATAGTTTATAAATCAATTCCTTTTGCACTTCTTATTAAAACATCTGTATCGAGAGCTCCTAAATTTTAAATTTTAAGAATGAGAGTAGAATCCTCACCTAGAATTACTTTACCAAAATCAATAATAGGTTATTCAACTTTTGCAATAGCCTTTTAGCTAGTGCATAAAATGTGAATTTAAAAAGGTCCAGTCTCAGCTTAACATTATAATTAGACATCTATATCATCATTTAATTATGGAGTAAATCTAACTGTTATTGGACAAGACATCCCTGCTGAAACTCTGCCAGGAGGAGTGTATATCAATTCAAAAAAATCCTTATTTCAAAATTTTATATATTACTCTAACAGCTTCAGGAAGTGGAAGTATTTTAAATGAATTAAATGTATAAGAAACATTAGTAAGTTACATTATTATTGTATGTGGCTTACCTACATCAAAATCCTATGATATAAGTCTTCATCTTACTTTGAATATTATCTCTCCTGGCTTTGAGATAAATGCCACTCCCTCAAATTTTCTACCTTATACTATTTAATCTTTATAAATGTTTTCTTTATGACGTTTCCGAGCCTTTTCAAAATATTCTTTTTCAAGAGGAGTTAACTCTTTTAATTTTATTATTCTTTATCCAAATTCATCTTGTCTTGGTGATTCTTCATCTTAATCTGACATAATAAATTAATGTTATTAAGAAAAACAATAAATTACTTTTCTATATTCACTAGCAAAATTCCAAAGACTTATTATGAAATTTTAGAAGTTACACCAAAGGCAACAACTAAAGAAATCAAATTACAATATATTAAATTAGTTAAATTGTATCATCCTGATAATGGTGAATCTGGATCAGAGGAAAAATTCAAAGAAATTTCTAAAGCTTATTAAGTATTAAAGGATCCAATTAAAAGATAACTCTATGATTCTGATGCTTTAAATTTTGAATAATCTGGAGAAGCTCATTCAGCAAATGATGTGAATCCTGATTCTTATTTTTATAGCACAAATAAAAAGGAATACTATTCAAATAAATGGTATAATTTTAGAAAGCCATCTTATGAAACATTACATTAAGAATAAACATACTAATTTGTTGACGAACTTACATCTAAAGCAATTATTGGAAGAGTATTAATAATCCTAGGTGTTTATGCTATTTGGGATATATATAGATTATATTCAAGAAGATAACATAAAAAATTCTTAGAAACTTAAAAAGAAATACTTGATTCAAGTTTTATTTAAGCACCTTTAGAATAGTATATAGATAAAAGATAAACTGAGATGTAATTAGACTTAGATTGATTTTATATTATAAAAATTAAAAATCAATAAATTATTCTAAAATTGCATTTATTATTAATTAAAATATTTTAATATATTTTTTAAAGTATTTGTTCTTAAAATTAGTATAGATTAAAATTCTTAGACTAGCCTAGCTTAAGTTGAATAAATAATAAAATGAAATAGTAAAATATTTTTACTTTGAATAAATTAAATTTAAATATAAGTTTATATAATATTAATTTATTATATAAACATAATAGATATATCATTCATTCATTAATTTCTTCAATATGACTTGGCAATTATTCTTCAGGTTATTACTTTACAAATTCGATTTAACTTTCATTAATTCTATCTTAATGATTTTTCATGCGACTAAGATAAGTAGAATCTGTATTATTGACTCTAATAGTATTGACTTCTAACCAAGGATAATCTTTGATAATTTTTTTTCTTGTGAATTCAGTTCTACAAAAAGGACAATTTTTCTATCTCAATAACCATTCTTCGAGACAGAGAGTATGAAAGATGTGAAAACAAGGACTAACAGAGCAAATCTTTTATTATTTAGTTGAAGGTTTTTTCATTTATTCTAAACACACAACACATTCTTCAAATTAAGATAAGCCTGGGTATGCTTTAATGATTTTTTCATAATTATGTCCTTTAAAATGATCTTTAATAAACCTTAAGGAAAAACCTCATAAATTGATAAAATGTTACCTTTATGATTAGTTTAAGCAAGTTATCGTTCTGGACTTTAAGGTTGTATTTATTCCATATTATGAACTTAGTTTAAATTTCTTCTAATTGCCTCTTATACTTATTAATGAAATTATCGTTGTTATCTAGATTTGAGGGCTGATAATCCAAATGCAAATAAAAGCAATGAGCCTACAACACATCCAGTAACAATTATAATAATTTTATTTCTTTCAAAAGTACTTTCTTATTCTTCTTCAGGAGTGATCACTTAAAATTAAAAATCTATAGATTAAGATTGATTATTGTATAATCCTATGAAGATAATATCAACATAAACATTAGATTACTTACTTTATAATTATTATTAAATATTATTTATTGACAATAATTTTTAGCTGTCTTATAGAGTTGGGATTTTTAATTATGGATGTTATTTTAATACAATACTATAATCTAAATAGTTTATATATAAATAAAATACATAATTCTTTTTCTAGACTTTAAGAGAATAGATTAATATCAGTAGTACTATATTGGAATTAAAAATACTTCCATTAATGAGAATCTAAAGTAATTGATGTTAGAACATTCTTAGAAATCTAAGAAGATTAGAATTAACAATATTATCCAAATGTTCCATCTAAACAGTGACATGATTCAGACACACAAACAGAATTCATAATTTCAGGATAGTTGTATCCATTACACTCATTAATACAACCTAAAGTAATTTAATTCTCTGAATAATAGATCTCTATATTAATAGGTTTTTGATTTTAATTTGATTCTAAACATTTTATGTAAATTATTGCTATATAACCCATATGAATAAGTTAATATTCACTATTGGCTTAGTAACTTTGATAATCATAAACTTACGATCCTTTTGGATTATAAGTAAAATCTATATCATTTAATTTTGTTTAATCTAAATCATTTGTGGATGCTAAACAAAGCACTTCTTCTTCATTTTTTTAGAATTTGATAATTATACTGTAAACATTTTAAGTGTAGTTTAGTTTAATAATTTGTTAGGTATTAGGTAAAATTACTCCATAGTAATTTGGCAAACAATAGACAAAATATATCAAAATTGTTGTAAATATAATCATTATAAATTAATGTGTACAAAAAAAATATTAGCTTACCAAATGTATATGATAAATTACATAATATTAAGTATCATATTAATGTAACATTATTCTTAGAGATTTCAAATTAAACTAATATTTTGATCTATGGGGAATTGTCAAAATTGATAATTTATTTGAATTCGTAAATTTCTAAGAAAAAAAGATGAATAATTTTTATACATATTTATGTAGAAAGTTCTTTTTATATTGCACTTCAGTTCTTTAATAAAAATCTGTATTATTTTTTATGAAATACTCTTTGATTTTGTAAATTAAAATTAAAAATAAATTACACATTCATTCATTTCCAGTTGTCTCAGATTTAAGAATTAATTAAGAAAATATTATATAAAGAACAAATTGATAGAAAAACTATTCTAATAATCAAAGATTTTCCAAATATGGAAATATATATATTTTGTAAATCTAATAGAAGGTTCAACTTCCCTCAAGATTTTCAATTTATTAATAAATTTGTGAATCTATCATCCGAAACTCTCAAAATCATTAAAAATAATATCTTGAAAGTAGCCATATATATCAATATGATAAATAATCCTTTTATATCATCTTTTAAATTCTGCTTAAAGCTATCTTGAAAGATTTTAAATTAATTATAATTCAATCTAAAAATAATTGCTTATAGTGACTTTTTAAATTTGGATGGTTTCATTTATAAAACTGTCTAGAAATAAATTAACTATATAAATTCAAATGAAATTGATTTTTAGAGTGCTACAAACAAGATGAAAATCTTTCTATATAATCAATACTTTAAAAGTTGAATATATTATTATTATGAATTAACAATATTAACAAAAATTTTAAAATTAAAATGCAATCAGAGATTCCTTAGAATTATATTGACTAGACACAAACACTCCTTAGATACAACAAAACTATTTATTCTTTTGAATAAATTGGAATATTCTTTATCGTCTTACGATCTATTAGAATTGTACAATCTTTTTAATATTGAGATATCAAATGTGATAATTACTAATCTCTTGCCTTTCAAATTGATAATCCTGTACAAACCATATATGTTGAATTTGTATTATTTTTGTGGCGTCGCGCTATTTGCTTATCTTAGATTCGGAACAGAAGGAACTTAAATACCTTATGATTAAATAGATTCAACGAATGGCAAATATTATTATCTCTTTGGAACTAATTCTAATATTAAAATTGAAAATTAATACTACTTAAATTCCAATTATACTTCCATCTTATTGCATGACTGTGACTTTACACTTTTTTTCCTTTTACTTTTGATTATTTTATGCATTCCATATAAATTCGCCAGGAAATGGCCAAAATTCTTTTGGGAATTAACTATTTATTATATAGAAGGAAGCATTTTTGAATTAACTTTAGGTAGTGTTGGCTAGATAACGTAAAATATTTAAAATCAATCAAAGGATCCTTTAGATATAATATTTAGTGTCATTGGAGGAATCTTACTAATATTTTACTTTTTTATCATTATAAGACCTTTGATAACATTAAAAGATGAATCAAAGAAAGAATTCTTAAATTATTTTTCAAGAGTTTAATTGTCTAAATAAAATAAAATTCCATACCTGATTCATTATTCCCTTTTTATTTTAAACGAGCTTTTAATGGGTATATCTCCAATAGCAATAAATAATTTTTTAATAGCATTCTATTTTGAAATAGGAGTATATGGAATATTAATTTTATTACAGATTTTTATGATTTTTTAATGTAAAGATCTTAAGAATAGATTAATAAATATTGTTAATATACTATCATATTGCATTCTTATTTCATCATATGTTTTAATTTAATTTGAAAATTATGAATTAGGTTTTATAATCTTAATTTTATTATCAGTTTATTTTATACTAAATTTGGTAATTTCAATACTTTAAATCACTGTCTTAAGTTTGAATGGAAAGAATAATGAAATTAAAAAGGTAAATTCATAAAATGAATAAAATGTAAATTTATAAACAAATATCGAATTGCAATCAGTTACTTTATAATTAGATTAATCATAATAAATAATTTAAACTGTTTAATAATAGTCAAAATTTATGTTAACTTCATAAATTTCAAATATCCATCATTCTAAATAATAAGCTTCTTAATTCAACAGTCACAATACAAGTACTGATTTTTTAAAGGAGGATCATCCAATAATTAATAATTAAATTTAAAAAGATCTTTTTTTAATAAAGAGATAGTTGTGTCATGAAATTTCATAGTTTATTGATAAAGGATAAGTAAAAATAAATAAAATTTTATTATAATTTAAATTCTGTGTAAAAGTCTTAAATGGTGGACATGAGATAGATTAGAAAATATTAAAAAGAAATAATATTGGAAATAAGATAATTGGAGTACATACATTTACTTTAGAATGTACATAAAATTGTGAAATAGAAGAAATGTAAATAAAAACATATTACAGTGATCAGTTGTTGTAAAGAGATATAAAGTTGGTAAAAAAATAAATGTAGATTGGTCAGAGTATTGAAGTGAGTCATTAGCATTAATTTGAATAGAGTGATACTTGGAATGAAAAATTAGCTATAAAATTAGTAATAGATTCTAAGATATATCGATTTTCTATTTGTAATAACGAATTAAAATTAATATAATTGTCTGCTCTTACTTGGAAGAGTATTTAGAAATTAATGGATAATGGAATATAAAAACATATAGTTTTATTTGAGTAACGATTAGAGAGATTTAATTTTGAAAAAGTGATTTAGTTTAGCAAACATTATTAGTTATATCATCATAAAATAACTTCAGCAGAATCAGAATATAGAAATCAAGAATTATTCTCGAATTTCGGTAAGATCCAGTTAATAATTCCAGGAACTCCATACATTCGACTGATTCTTAGTATAGAACAATAAATCAATCGAGAATATTTAAGTAGTCCTCAATATATAGAATCTAATATTGATTTAAAAAGGGTTTAATACATAATTGTGAGTATTTATGCTAAGAAATCTTCTCATTAATTGGGTTATGCACATAAAAGAGTGTGTGAGTATTATGGAAAAGAATTGATTAATTATTTTAACTAATGAAATATATATATAATGGATATATAATTTTGTTTGGTTATTAACAACATCCCTTTCATTTTTGAACCTAAGGTAATGTAAAATTTATGTGTATTTAATATTTATTATAAATAAGTGAATGATCTATATTAATTTTAGAATACCCGTTTTTGAAAATTAGATGAATTGAAAGTATTTGTTATTTAGCATAGTTAGAGTGATGGTTGATTAATATTATTTATTTTAGAGATGAAAGCTACAATTGCAATCCTTTTATTGGTGAGCATTGCCTCAGCAACATCAACTCATGATTAAATTATGGCATTACTTTAGACAGGAACAAAAGCAATGGATGCTATTGACACAGTCTTTGGTTTGTTGAATGATCTTATTCAATCAAATAAGGATGCTCAATTTGCTGCTGATTAAAAGAATGAAACAGATGAATGGGTTGGTGCATAGTAATATTATGATCTAATTCTAGAACTATTGAATAATTCACAAAGATCAAGACCTTAAACTAAAAGCTATTCTAATAATCCATTGAAAATAGAGCTTAATTTGAATAAGAACTTTAAGACACAAAGAATTATTTGGCTTGGAATGAATAAAGATAAGATGAGATAGAAAGAAAGATTTAAGTCTTATTGGATGAATAGTGTTTGAGCAATTAACTTTTTGTTAGATCAATCAAATAAAATAGAGAAGCTCTTGAAGTAGTCAGAGTCCTTAAATAAGATGTTGCAGGTTACATTATCAATGGAGATTCATTTGAACTTATCTAGGAAAAAACTTAGACTGTTGCTGAAAAATTAAAAGCCTATAGCAACCTCTTCAATGATCATGAAGTTAAATCTTTCCTTAATTTGGCTAACAAATAAGAAGATGGATCTGTATATAATATTAATATATTTTTTAGGTTAGTAGAGGTGCTACATTAGCTGAAAGAGTCTTATCAGTTTTAGAATCCCTTGAAGCAAATCTCTAAGCTTCTCTTGAGGCTTTGGAAGTAAACGAAATCAATGCCTCATGGGAATTAGCTGGATGGGTATCATTGAGTGAAGCTGAAGTTTCCAATCTTAAAGTTGAATATGAAAGAAAATAAGTTTATGCAGACAGACTTGCAACTGTAATCCTATTTAATTTATTATTTAGTAAATTCAAGCTGCTTTAGCTTAATAAGCTAAGTCAAAGATTATCCTCTAAGAATCCCAAGATGCTCTTGATTAAGCTTAATCTGATTTGGAAAACAAGAGAGCTGACTATGCTGAAGCTAAAGCTAAAAGAGATGAAGAAAATGCTATTTTGGAAGAAGTCATCATTATGTTCAAGAAGTAAGTTGCCTCTTGGTCTGGAAGATGATTAATATATTGAAAAACTATAAAACAATCAAATTATCATTTTAAAATAAATTAAATATTAATCTGATTTTCTTATTTCTGTAGATTTACTTCTCTTTATAAAAATTTCATACCCACTCCTTTATTTATTAAATTCAATATTATTAAATACAATTCTCAATTTTTATATTTCTATGATGATTATTTATTTTTAAAAGATATAGATCTATAGGATAACAAGCATTTTATATTTTGAAAAATTTTTAATATTATCATATTGTATATATACATTATTTAATATTTTTTATTATAAACAGTAGAGTAAGTATTAAAGGATTATCTTATAAAGGATATATAATTAATTGTTGTATCAAAAATGTATAAAAGATTAAAATAGAATATTAACATCTTTATATTATAAAGTTCTTTTGATTAATAAATAATATTATATAATATTTCTCTTTGGATTAATAAGAGTTAAAAAATTATATATGATTTTAAAAATAAGAAAACCTATTAGTTGTTAATTTAAGAGATAAAAATATTCAATAGTTTAAAATTTTACAGCGTTATTCAATTTCATAATTTAATAAAATAAGAATTTCAACTTAAAAAAATCATGCATATTCAAAAATGAAAATTATGTTATATAATAGTTTTTTGAGTTATAATTCAATTTTTTGATTATTATCTTGAATGATTTGACATTCTAATTTATTTAGAATTTAAAGGCGAATACATTAATTCATTGATTTTCTTAATATTTTTGGAAGTTGTTGGTTCCTTATGATAAAAGAATATAATATACTTTGAGAAAAGAATTTTCCATAAGTGTTGGATCTTACATAACCTTTTAGAGATTTTCCATAAGGATTTTTTAAGTTGGAACCATTAAGCTTTTTTTAAATTGAGCTGTATTTAACAATTTAGCTTTAGATATAAAATTTTCTATTTCTATTAATTGTTTTTTTTCAACTGTAAACCATTTAATATCTCTAACTGACGATGTATTCAATGCAAAATTTTATCTCAAATTATAGAAAATTTGCATTTTTTTATTAATTTCGAGCATAATTAAGACCAATTCATAGAATTGCAGTGCTAAAAATACATTATTGAATTTACAATCTCTGATCTATAATTATGAATAGGATTCGATCATGTCAGTAATTTCATTTCTTAAAAAACCATATTCCATTAAACAATCTTTATAAATTAAGTAAGCTATATCTTTAATGATAAATGAATTCTATGTTTTATGATTAAATGAGAATTGAAGATATGGTATAAACCCTAAATTAAAATTTAGCATATTGATTATTTTAAAGAGCCAAACAAATTATAATTTTCTGTTTAGGGATTCCTCTTAGTATGGATATTGATGGAATTTACAAGAATTATAAATATCTGAATTTTAAGTTATCCTTTATATGTAATTGAAATAGATTTTCATAAATTCAGATTCATTTTGATGTATTTGTTCATAAAGTTATAATTGCTAAATATATATATATAAAATGATTACATCAGAAACATTAAGGTACATTGAATTTTAAAACTAAGTAGCAATCATTTATTAATCTGACATAATTTAACATGTTTAATTAATATTTGTAGTAACTGCTGTTTTTGCTTATGTATTAAGAGCAACTGGTTTGATCTCTATTTTATAACATAATTTACATGATTTTATTCACAAGAAAGGATTACTTTATCTATCACTTAATATTAATCACTGCTTAGAATAATATGTAAAGCATAGCATCTTTTGAGTTACTCATTAATTGATTCTGGTTAGAACTTTAGAACTTCTTCTAATTTCTTCATGTCTTTGATTAATAATTTTGCATCCCTCAATCTTACTTAAGTGTATTAGGGATCAAATATTGAGAAATCAGAATTTTGATTCTTAGGTTATGATTGTTTTTATTGCACTGATGGTTTAGAGAAAATTTATTTTATAAAATTCATTTATTAATGAAATTGAAAAAATTCAAATATATAATTAGTCTCATTTAGAAAAACCAATAGCTGTTTGTCCAGCTCTTTTAGCTGCTCTACATATATCATCTGCTACAATAGTTGTTCTTTCTGAATAATTAGCATATATCATAGAATCTCGAAGAATACTTGAGATAAACAATTTATTAAGTTCATAAACATCTGAACTAATTCTTTTAACTAGACCTCTTCTTGCTAGTCTTCTAATATCTCCATTAGTTATTAATCTACTTTAGTTGTATTTTAAGGAAACTTTTTATAATCTATGTTTCTTCCTTAACCTTTTAGTTATTAATTATTCTGTCTATGTTTGATTATATTAGATCTAAGTGGTACTTTTGGGGGAATTTATAATAATTTCAAAAATATTTATTTTACTGTTGATAATTAATCTTAAATCTAATTCTTTATATATACAAATATAATCCAATCAATTTTCATACAAAATTATGAGTAAGAAGTTTATTTTGTTTTAAAATATTTTCTTAATTACTACTATATCTAACTCTAATTGACGGTTTTTAAAATTTAACAATAAAGCTATCCTAAGGACTATTTTATTTAATTAACTAATGAGTATAATTATTTGCAAATCTCTCCATTTTATCATTTATCTTTTTTAAAGGTTAAGTTTTATTTCTTGATCTTTTAGTCAAATCTTTCATTTTATTTTTTAATCCATTATCATTTTAATCAAATTTCTCTATTTATTCAGTGGGATTCTTTTTCCTTTACATAAATAATTATATCTTTTTACTAGGTTATTTAATCATTAAATCAAATTTTTCAGGGGTTTAGCAATGCCCTTTCTCTTAAACTGAATGAGTTTTTTATCTGACAAAATCAACAATATTATTAGGAGTTTATTTTCCTTAAATTTAAATATTATTCAGTTTATTTTGATAACCTGTAAATACATCTTAAAATTATTAATAATCAATTTTATTTTTATTATGAGGTAAAGAATACCTTAATTGTCTTTGTTATTGGAATTTTTCTCTACTATTTGAACCTCCAGTTGAACTTTATAATTATCTATATTCCATAGGTTAATAAATTTACTATAACTAAGATTATTAAATTTAATTTTTTTTAATTTATTATTATGTTTAATGAAGTAACTATGCATTATTTTTAATTATAGATTATTGATTAGATGTAAATTTTTTGATCAATAACCAATAAGCAGAAGTAATGGAATTATGTTTATTTTTTTTAACTTAGTCAATAACGCTATTGACGTCATAACCTAATTCTGATAATTTCTTTAAAACAACTTGGTCCTAGGTTATTAAGGTCTATTAAGGTTAGATAACGATTTTCGTATAAAATGGATGTTATTTGATTTAATTGAATCCAATTCTTAAAGAGGGATCCTTAGTTAATAATTATTTTAAAAGATCTTATGCTTAAGGTGAAATGTTATTTGGTTTATCATAATCTTCATATTTAATCATCTCATAAAGTTTCTTTGTGTTTTCATGTTCAAATGGTAAATAACCACAGAGCATGGCATATAAGATTATACCACAGCTCCAAATATCACTCTTTTATCCTCCATATAATCTACCATCTAATTATTATAACCTTAATACATAGCATCTCAGGTGCAGCATAACAGGGAGATCCACATGCGGTTTTTAGTTAATCGTTATCTTTGTATATATTACTTAGTCCAAAATCAGCTACTTTTAGATTCCTTTACTCATCTAAAAGCAAATTCTCAGGTTTCAAGTCTCTATGGACAATCTTTTATGAATGTAAATATTCCACTGCATCAATCAACTGAATAAAAAATCTTGTTGCAGCTTGTTCGGATAACCTGATTATACTTTATATTTACTAATTCTTCTTCACTATATAATCAAATAATTCTCCTCCCTTTGCATATTCCATTACTAAATAAAGATTTGTATCTGATTCCAATATCTACTAATTCACTTTATTATTACCTCATATAGCTTTATAACATTCTAATGTTCTACTTTACGTAATATTGTAATCTCTCTTTATACTCTTACAAAATCTGCGTCATTCTCTATTTTTCTTTTCTCCAAAATCTTTACAGCCACCTTAAATCTAATTCAATTTTACATATTCATCACAAATTGTATGATAACCTAACTTTACTTTACCAAATGTTCCTTTCCCAAGCGTACGATCTCTCAAATTATTTTATATATACCTAAAACATAATTTTAAACCTATTTTGTTTATTCATTATTAGACATGTTTTATTTTAAACTATCCAATATTATTATTATAAATTACTATTCATATTTTTATTTACATGTTAATTTTTACAAAAAAATTCATTTAAAAAGTTATTGTATTCATCATCATTACATATATTATTTTATTCGTTAAAAGCTTTAATCAATATTCAATTATTCACATAATAGAATCGTGCTTTATTCAATAGTTTAAATCATTCTTAACTAAAAGAGTTAACTATTTAGATACTAACTAAATTTAATATTCTACCAGAGAAAATAAAAAAATATATATATTTTTTAAACGGTATAAAATGATTATTAATTAACAAATAATTGTTAAAATAAAATAATATTGACAAATGTATGGTCACAAACTTAATTACTAATGAATAGCTCTACTCAGAAACTATCATTCAATATTTTACTAAGCTTCCTTGAAATATTTCATAATTGATTTACTTTATCAATTGAATAAATAATTTGAGAAAAAACATGCAATTCACAAATTAATTATCAATAACGATTGAAATTACTATTATATATTTAATTGCTATATTTTTTTGGGTTTTGCAAATAATCTTTAATTTTGACAAATTATTTGGTTATTTGTTCAACTAGAGATCATACTCCTTTGAACTTTGAATATACTTAAAGTTATTAAGAAAATATTATGTATCTTCAGAAAAATCAAGCTGTAGTTCACTTGTATATAAAGTGTAATAATCAAATGCAAAAACAACCAGAACAAAAAATAGAAAATTAGGATGAAATATAAAACATATATCTAGAATATGTGCAAATATTGTAAATCACTTACGTGCCTTACGTCTCTTTCTCTTAAGTCTTCGCATTCTCTTCTTTCGCCACTTTTCTCTCATTATTTATTTAATTTTAATATTAATATATTACAAGATTTAAATTAAGTTTTAAATTGCTTTCTTAAATTAAATCATCAAATATAACTAAATTGCCTATAATGAGATCTTTTTTGGTTAGAATAAGGTTTAGAAATATATTGAAATCAAAATAGATGTGAATTTCATTATAAAAAAACAACATCATCATCATTAAGTTATTTGTTACTATCCTCTAATTAGTTACTATAATCTACGTATTCAGGAGTGAAATTTGAGAGGAAAATAAAGAAATCATTTTATTTTTGTTTAATTTATTTTATCTATATTAATAAAATTAAATTATTTTACATTTCTCCAAAACCGAAATAATTCAGTCTAATTGCGAATATAGAAGGAAATTCCCATAGATGTATCAACATCCTTTTGGTTTAATAAATGAATATATTTGCAACTATAAGAAGTATTATAGAACATTTTATTCTCTATAATTTAATCTTTATTTTCAGCTTCTTAAACATAATGTGGATCTAAATAAATGTAATGATCATTAATTCTCCCTAGTATGTAGAATGCTCTTTTTGGTGTACCACCAACAATACCTTAGAAATATGGTAGTTCCATTAGTTCATCTAGAATTTTTAAATATTTTTAATTAGGTTCATCTAAACCAATTCTGGTTAAAATAAAAATGGCTAAACTATTTTTACATTATAAATGACTCTTTTCTAAAAGCTCCTCTAAATTTTGATCACTTTAAAATTTCATTTCAAACATTGTATTCATTAATTAATCAAGAAAGAGACAAGAATCATTAAATACTTATAATTTAAGATTTTCAGATGCTATTATTAAATAATTATAATATTATTTACCTCTGATTGGTATAGAATTATGTAATTATTCAAGGAGAAATAATATATAATTAGGTTTATACCATTCCCCTGGATCTAGGTTGAATTCTTTTTTGGCTAAATATGCTATCTTTTAAATGCTGAAAGGACAAATAAAAGGATGTAATTTTTATCTATCTTTTTTATTATAGAATTCTATGAATTAATTGCATTCTAATGAATCATTATCAGCAAAGGCTAGTAAAATGTTATCACAATCATTATCTCTTTTATCTCCATGATTTTTCAAATGTTTTTTAAGCATTTAAGCCATGGCCATTTATCCTACTCTTAGCATACAACCCCATCCAGTATCTGAAATATAATTGGATTCTTAAAAATCACATATAAAATTACTATATAAAGGTGGAAAATTTCTTCTATATGTAATCCATATAGTTTCTTAAACAATCTATTTAATTTTATTGATACGATCCTTATGTAAAAAAATTAGTTTACTTCAATATCACTATTTTCAATATCAATTCGATTTCCTAAAATATAAATTGGGTGACCTGAAGGAACATTTTTGTTAGTCAAATAAGCGTTTAAAATGTATTTTAAGTTATAGCTATTAATTAAAGTTTATATTACATCCAATCGATTATAACTTCCTTATAATTTTCTTATCTCTAATCCATTTTTTAAATTAATAAACTAAATTAATATAGAAAATGAATAATAATCTATAACATATTTGATCTATTTCTTAAATTAGAAATAATATCCATATATAAATGTGAATATTAAAGTAAAACTATTATTTTTATGAGTGAAATTCAATATGTCAAATTTGATGAGAAAAACATAAATTTATTGTTAATATTTAATTAATTATGGCTAATTGGAGTTTGAAAAAGTATTTAGAATTGGCCAAAGGCTTCTAAGGACGTGCCAGAAATACTTCTAAAATAATGATGAATAGAGTATAAAAATCATTACAATATGCATATGTAAGTAGAAGACTTAGACCAAGAATTTTAAGTAAGTCTATTATCATGAATAGGACGTGAGTGGATTTAGGCTATTAATGCTGGAGTAAGAGAACATAGAATAAGTTATAGTCAATTTATTTTTGGATTAAATCACTCAAACATATAATTAGATAGAAAAATTTTAGCTAATCTTGCTATTAATGAACCTTTTTCCTTCAAAACAGTAGTAGATGAAGTGAAAATATAAAATAGTATGAAAGTATATATTATGTTTAAAATGCAAAGGAAAAACCATAAGATTAGGTTTCTCTTGACTAAGCATTTGAAAGAGGCTTGATTGCTAATAATGTGACTTAAACTTGGTTTAAGAAAGGTATTAAAGAAGGACATAAATTATATGGTTTAAAAAGAGAATTAACTCCAGAAGAACTAAAGAAATTCGAAAAAGGTGAATGAATAAACCTATTGCACATAAAATAATAATAAAAATCATGCCTTCATCAATTCTAAAAACTCTTATTAAGCTAAAATATCTTAATCATTTCTTAAAATGAAATAATTAAATGTGGGTTGTTTTGGTTTCCAAAAATCTGCTGCTTTAATCTAAAATATTTTAATTATTATTTTACATCTTTAGCCTCTTTTTTTTCCATATTAATAATTAATTTTGAATTAGCTTTGTGATATGAATAATCGTATTAGTTAATTTAATCAAGAAGAGTTAAATTTGGTCTTTTATCTAATTCTTTTCTTAACCAATTATGAGTTGTTAAAGAAAATTTATCTGTCTTGGGAATCTATAAAAGTGAACATCTTCCATGAGAATATGCTTTTTCTCCTAAAGAGCTTGATCCTAATAATATCATATTTTTAGCTTTCACTGTTTCAAATAATGTTATTGCTCCACAAGAATCAGATATTAAAAAGGCTTCTGAATAAAGTTCTAAAAATTCCATTTCTTTTGTAATTTTTTCCATTTCAAAATCCAATAAATATGTTGTATCCTACATTTTAGTATATCCATCTCCACCATGTCCATTCATAAACATTAAAAGTTTTTACTCTTTTGATAATGTTAATCTTCTTGATTATGGTGTCTTAATAAAATAATTTATATTACATATCTATTATATTTATTACGCATAACATCTATCCAATATTTAATATTAACATCATTTCTTTTAAAATCCCAATTTACTTTCTTATGTAAATTTGGCTCTCTTTATCCATCATATGCACAAGCTACACCTGGTACACTATTTTTTCTGTTACAAGCTGTATCCTCAGGAATCATTAAAGAAATTTAATCATCATTTATTCTCCATTCTTTTAATTACTAATAAATTAATAGAGAATTGATAGCTTGTCTATAATTGAACCAAAATTTTGAAGTAGACAAAATTATGTATTGATTTTGAGGTATTGGTCTATAGCAAAGTATTGTTGTGAATAAAATGAAAATTATCATTAATTATATTAAGTATTTATATGTATAATCAGCAATATTTGTTAAATATTAGATCAAATTGTTTCATCAGTTAAAGTATTGTTTAAACGCTAATTTGATACTGATATTTTGGTTTTATAAAATGTATCTTTTTGTCTTTAACTTCTATTCATATATTTTTAACTCATTTCTACAGTCAATGTATTTCTCATTGTCAATCTTGTTGATTCGTTTACTTTTTAATTCTTTGTTACTATTACAGAATGACTTATTTTACCATTTTTTATTAGATTTTTATTTGTTTATTATTTTCTCAAAGTTTGCGATTATGATAAATTCAAAGATTAATCTATTCTACTAGTAGACAAATTTACTTTTTTTATTGGTAATATTTAATTCAATATGAAATCTACTTTAGATATTCTCTATTATCTAAAAGTTATATGAGTATTTTCATCTTTTAAACCTGGTTGAAATTCAAAATGCAAATTATTAATATTCTAATCTACTCTATATAAGCTATCTTCATGACTAATTTAAACCAATTCATTTTGTAGTAATAAAATAATCATTAATTTTTAACATTCATCTAACTAATCCATTTTTATTTCTTACTCTTATTACTTTGGTAAAAATTAATCTCTAATTTTCTAAAGATTCTTAATTTATTAATTTGCAAACGTAGAATCATTTTAAATATCAGATTTTATTTTTGTAATTTATCCTTGTAATGATTCAAGATCTCTTTTTATATAATTTAAATCTACAAATTCTTTATCAGGTTAACCTATTTTAGAATCATTTTAAATTGTATCAATTTTAGAATTGTATTTATTCAATTAAGTTTTTGTCTATAAAAAAAAGAATTCTAATCTTTCATGTTGCTTCTTAACCTTATCATTTAATTACTATAAATCTTTATCTTATTATTAATATTAAAATTAAAAAGTTTTTTAAGATTCTAACAATTTTTCCAACTATTACTTTATCTCTATTAATTCTAAATTATCAATCACTTTTGATGCTGATTATTTTTTTTCAAATGATTAATATTCAACATACCCATCAATTTTACTATTTGATCTAATTGATTTATTATTTCCTGTAACATTAATACTTGTGATATTTATACCTAATGGAGATTCAGCTTCTCCTGTATCTTTCAATATTTTACTTTTTCTTTATGGATTGATATTACTTTAATTAGATAAAGCTTACAATTTATATTGTTTAGATTAATTATCATCAATATTTAATTTGCTATGTTTTTAAATTATCTAATTTTATTATCCTTCATTTTCTAATGATGCAATGTTTTAAATAATATTTGGAACCAACTAATTTTATAAAGATTGTAATTCTTCCATAAAATGATTATCCATTATTTATATCTATTCATCTAAATATAATTTTTATATATTCGTATTTCTATTTAAAATTGACATGATATTATTATCACATTTTTCTTTATATTATTCAAAAACTTCATCATATTTTAGAAGGTTCTTTTTATAATTTTATTTCATGCTGGCAAAATCAAATTTAAATTAATCAACAGCTGTCTAAACTGTATGAAATGTTTCACTCCAATCCTCATACTTTTATTCAAAAAGTACTCTTAGATTATTTATAGATTTTTATATTTCCGAGTTTTTATCCTAAAATTCTACTCTTAGATCTTTTAATTATCCTTAAAAAGCAGAAAATTATCTTTAAGTATCTTCTCTTTAATATTAAAAACTATCAATCTACTATTGCATTTATGTTATATTTCTATTATTTTAACTCATAATTTATTAATATTTTAATTGAATAGTATTAAGTTCACATTTAATATGATCGCTTTATTATTTAATAGATTTTTCATGGTCTTCTTTAAGAATAGTTGACTCTTTAAATCGTTCAAATTATTCAACCATTTCTTATACTTAATTGCTTAACACATTTTATTATAGGAAAGTTTATTAATATTAATCTGCTTTTTCTTAGATTTTATTTAGTTTTTCTATTAAATCTTAAATTTTAGTATCAATTTTTTCAGTTGAGAATCTATTTCCTTCAGTCTCTTCTCTTTAAGAAGAAATTAATTGATTAACTCTCTTTTAAAGATTATCAATATTTGTAATATAACTCTAATGGGCAAAATTTTAATCCCCTTTCAATTATTGATATTACTATTGTAATTCTTTGAGTTTTTCTGATCTATCATTTAATTATTAACTGTAATGTTCAATTCTATCCATTAGGTTAGTAAAAGTTTGATTTTAGGTTTATATTGCTAAGATTTGTTTTTCTTCCTTAATTAATATTAAGTGATACCAAAGATGCTATAGTTGAATGTAATTCATTAATATTTTTTAAATACATTGAATCTTAAAGCTATCTTTACTATTATTATTAATTAATAATAGAAATAGCTTAAGTATGTTTACTAATTGCTGAGTCAATATTGGTATAATCTTGCTACAAATTTAAGATTCTATATAATTTTCGCTCTTTACCTATTTTAAAGTGGATTCAATAGTTCTAAAGTAACTTTTCTGGCAAGAACTTCAATCAAATATTGCTAATTTTGATCCATCTGTATGTTAAACAAATAAATATTTATATATATAATTTATTCATCAGATTAATTTCATATTATTACTAGAGATATCTATAATATTTTTAATTATAAGAAGATGAACTTTCTTAGTTTTGATAAGTTACATCTCTTTTCATTGATTGTTTAAATATATTATTTTATATGTTATATTTTATTCTCTACTTAAATTTACTTAAATTGAAGTCATAATTGATGTTAAGACTTCTAAATATTATTAAAAATGATTCAGGAATTATTTAATAGAAGACATATAATTTTATTTAATTGAAAAATGCAAAATTAGATTGATTAGGGTTTACTATAAGAACATGATTAAAATAATGGTATTTATATTTGAATATATCAAAAGTCGATAATATCGCTGATGAATAAATAGATAAACACAAATAACCAACATAAATATTTGAAATGGGAAAATCATAATTTAAACAACGCCATAAATTCTTAGCTATTTACACAGCTATTAAATTTATTGCTGCAATTACTTTAGTATATAGAAAATAAAAATAATAGATAATTTTAAGAGAAACATAATATGAATATGAGATACTACAAAAGGATTATAAAGATATTTTTGATGCTGCATATTTAGAAATTTGGATGTATATTTCATGTATAATTTAAAAAATAAAATAGGTACACATAGTCTATTTGCTTTCATCTATTATATGTAATTATTAATAAAGATTGATAATGATATTAAGTGCAATCAAATTGTTGAAGATATTGGACAAATGATTATAATTGAAATACCTTCAGCTTATACCAATCAATAAAGATAGGCTTTTATAATTCAATAAGTTGATATACAAAATTAAGAAATGATATAAAGATTAGAGATAGATGGGCAAATAGAAGAGTCAAGAAGAATCAGTCTTATTGCAACAGAAATCAAAGTTTAAAATTCTATAATATATTAGAAAAACCTTTTGCAAAATGAAAAATCCTTAAATTTTTTAGGAAAAGGATGCTTTATCTTATTTCAATTTATTTAGTTATGGGGTTTGATATTCTATTTCCATAGCAAAACAAATGAAGACGTTAATAAGGAAGCTAAATTCTATATCTTATATAAAGGATATTTGCTTTCTGTAAATTTATTGATTAATAATAGGTTGTATTTATGGGAATCTATTAATATCTAGAGATCTACATCATAACTCTTTTAGTTTTAATTTTTCTGCCAATTCTTCTTTTTTATAGTTTATATGATTGGATTAAGAATTATTTTTAAAAAAGGAGAGAAAGAAGAAGAATCGATGTTTCATTAAAAGAAAGTATGTATAGTTTACAAGAAACAGCTGAATGTATTTTTTGTTTCTATAAAAAAATAGAAGAATGTGCAATTTGCATGGAAGAATATACATAAAAAGATAAAATTGCAGTACTTCCATGCTCAAATAAACATCGATTTCATTCAACATGTGTTAGAGCATGGTTATAAGTTAATAGCAAATGCCCTTTATGCAGAACTGATGTATTAGCTCAGCCAGATGAAATTTTATGATTTATTTTTTAATCACATTATTAGCACTTTTTTATTTTCATTCTTTTATAAACTTATAAATTCTCATTTTGATATAAATTGAAACAAAAAGAGAAATTGATATTTTATTACATTTAATAATTTTAATCAAAAAAAAATATATATGATAAATAATGTTTATAAAAACAATCCAAGCGTATTTATTTAATTTATAAGAATTATAGTTATATTAAATTAAGTTAGAATGATAAATCTGAATGAGGAATAGAATTTATAATAAAATAAGTTAGTTAATGTATTAAATAAACTTTTATAATTTCATAATTAATGCACTTTAAATAGTTTATATACAACGACTTGCATTTTAATAATATTAGATCTGTACTTTTATATTTATATGATTTGAAAATTAATAAATTTTCCTAATACATAATCATTGTAAAATGAGTTTAGAAAATGTTGCCAAGGATGAATGAACGAATGTTACTGGCCTAAATA